CTCTATGACCTTGAACCTTTTTAAAAAATGGCACCATAAACGCTGAATGGAGGTTAGTCAGGACCAATTGGTGTCTATCGCATGAATAAATATTACCATTACCTTAGTTAAATAATAAATCTGACCCTCAAATAGCGCACATGTTTTAGGACGTCTTTTTGCAAGTAATAATCGTCTTGAGAAAAAACTTGATTTCTAGAAGCCAATAGAGCAAGCGGGATTTCGTACCGGATTTGGAACAAATGATCACCTACAGAGCATTAATACGGCAATAGAAAAGACTATCGAATACAATCGACCACTCGTCTGGCTTTTGTAGATTACCATAAAGCCTTTGACACGGTAGAATGTGACAAAATCCTGGAAGCACTACAAGCATGCCGCATTGACTACCGATATAAAAGGTTAATTTACAATACATACAAGAACGCAACTATGTCGGTGAAACTACATGAAAACACGGATCATATCCCAATCGGCAGAGGAGTCCGACAGGGTGATACTTTATCGCCTAAACTGTTTACCGCAGTACTAGAATGTGCCTGTAAAAAACTTAACCGGGAAAAGAAAGGCCTGACCATTGACGGTAGAAGATTAACAAATTTGAAATTCGCAGACGACAAAGTTTTATTCTCGGACAACCTCAAGGAGATATGTACAATGCTATATGAACTTCAGTTAGTGCGTGTCAATGTGGGTCTTAAAATAAACATCTCAAAAACAAAATTCATGACAAACCTAGTACCTGACGGAAATATCAATATTGGCGACAACGAAGTAGAGCTGGTGGAAAAATAAATATGTCTTGGACACGAAATAAAGATCACAAAAGACAACCAAACATGCGAACTAACAAGAAGAATAAACTTAGCATGGGCAGCCTATGGAAAACTCAAAGACATCTTTAAAAGCGAATATACCAATTTCTTTGAAAACGTAAAACATTTGACCAATGTGTGTTGCCTGTGATGACCTATGGTGCCGAAACTTTGACATTGACATAGCTCAGAGGAAAATAGAACGATATACTCAATGCTGAATATATCGCTTCGTGACCGAGTTAGAAATGAAGACTTACGAAGAAGAACAGGAGTTACCGATATAATTTCCCGAATTGCCACACTGAAATGGAACTGAGCTGGACACGTCGCCCGAATCAGTGATGAAAGGTGGACGAAGAGATTGCTTTAGTGGAGGCCGAAGTTAGACAAAAGAAGTAAAGGAAGACCCCCTACTCGTTGAACTGACGATCTTAAGAAAATGTCAAGAAAATGGATGAAAAGTGCTTTAAGATAGAGCACAATGGACAAAAATGAGGGAGGCCTATGTCCAGCAGTGGACGCAAAGGGCTGGGTGATGATGCTTTAAGCTAGTTAATTATATTTTACAATTTGAGGCTTTGTCGAATTTAATGAGCAGGAGATTTGTCGGGCAATGTTATAAACCTTCTTTTTAATGTTTCTTTGTATTGTATATAAAATACCTCTTAAAGTAAAAGTGTCAAATTATGAAACAAGAAGAAAATTTAATGTTGAATGTCTTCATACTTCAAAAACAATCACGCAACGGTCAATTAAATATTTTGCTCCAAGAATATACAATCAATTGCCCATAAATTTTAAAAATATCAAAAATTTTTATTTGTATAAAAAATTAGTTAATGCTTGGGTAAAAGAAAAAAGGGAGTTGTGTAACAATTTAATAAATTTAAATTATACTGGATAAAAAAACGAAACAAATTAGATTAGACTAGAAACTGTAAAAATGAAATAATAATTTGTAAAAAAAACATTAAACCTGTTAATGTTAGACAGCTTAAGTCAACAAGCATGTTAATGCTTTAAAGACTTTTTTTACGTTTATGTTACTGTAAGTAAATTGAAATTGTAAATTAATGTAATACTTATGGATTTGAATAAACGTATATTATTATTCAAAGACTACCAGAAAATGATCCTTTTCGGCTTCATGTTACTTATATATATATTTTTTTAAGTTTTATGTGATTTCTTTTCACAAATACATGATCAATATTGTTGATCGTCCTTCCATCATTGAGACATACGTTTCCTTATGTCTTTCTTTTTATTCTAACTACCTTTTTCCATTACTTTACATTTACTTTTTTCAAATACTTTAAGAGGTATTTTATATACAATACAAAGAAACATTAAAAAGAAGGTTTATAACATTGCCCGACAAATCTCCTGCTCATTAAATTCGACAAAGCCTCAAATCGCAAAACTGATAAATCTCTGGGCTTTATAATTTGTTACTTCATGAATTACATTACGCTACTTTCCAGACATTACATTACGGTATACACATATTCTTTCCCTGCTGGCACATTGCAATCCCTAATTATTTATTGTTTTATATCCTGTTTTGGCGTATTTATCCATTAGTTGCTCGTAAACTAGGTTCTCTGCTTCATCATCTTTTTCTTCGGATGAGGTATAGAGTATGATGTAAATCTATGGAATAAATTAATTATTTCAGAAACAGACGAGTTTACAAAAACTTAATAACACGTCAATTTTTGAATGACCATCAATTGCTATGTAATATGTGCTGTACATTACGTCATCAGTTTTGGCGTAGTGACGTAGGCGACGATTTTTTAAAATAAAAAACCGACTAAAATACAAACCGATACAAACTAAAATCTATTGCCGATACGCTTAAGTGACTTTCATGATTGTCGATAATAATTAGTCTCGGGTGTTCCTTTGGCGGTCTTTCTTGTTGAGCAAAATGTTGCAGAGTTCACTTCTCAACCACCCAGATGGTGTTGCGGTACCTTTGCTTCCAGTAGGGGCTCCGTGAAGCATGTATCTTTACAATGCACGCGAGGAAATATAAAGTAGGGTGGTACATTTCTGCCAGTGACGTCAATAATTGCTATCACGGTAACAAATACCACTCTTTCGGCAAAAGTCCTTTATGAATACACCTGTTTCATCTAGATTGTAGACATCATTGTCATGTAAATTATATGTATTTTAAAGCTCTCTCAGATTTTTTAAAAATGCTTCTACATTTCCTTTATTAATGCGGGTCGCACTATTAGGGCTGGTTTGTTCAGGGGTTCTTAATGATAATCTGTGCCATTCCATAAAATTAAACATCCATTCCTTTTCTGCCAATGAATTTGACGCATACCAAGCTACAGCAAATTCATAGCCAACCTACGACCTTGTTTGGTTGACAATCCGCAATGTTGCAAGTTTCTTGTAAATATTTTTTAAGAAGCAGTTCTTCGTCTTGACAAAATATCATGAGGTGCTCATTACTAAGGAGAAAATTAACCGTTTCCAAATCATGATCTCAGCACTTGTGTACATTTAGTGTAATTCTCGGAAGACCAAACTGGATAGCTACGTTTCTCACTGAACCACAATTTTCTAAGACTTCTTTACAAGCCTGTTTTAATGTTTCTGAAATGTAGGACCTATTGTTCGTCATTCGTATTCTTTCTTTGGGCATTTTCTGAAACAAAAAAAAAAAACAATAAAAATAGAAACTAGTAAATATTAAGAAAAGGCGCGTATGAACGATTTTTTGCTGGGCCAATTTGTTTATTATGGACTTACAATTGTATTGGTACAGGTGACCCATAAACCAATCGAAAATCAAAACATTGTTTATGCGCGTATTGCCTTACGGTAGGTTAACTGGACATATACCCCAGGTTCATAACCCCACTAGGTAATAAAAATAAATAATATAAATTCTAAGAAGAACGAAAGATATATTTACTTCTTCTTCTTGATGTGTCTATCCGTTACGAATGTTGGCGATCATCATGGCAATCTTTATCTTATCTGCAGCACCGCGGAAAAGCTGCACAGATATTTTATTGAACCAGATTCTGAGGTTCTTTAACCAAGATCTTCTTCCTGGACCTCGTTTTCCAAATATTTTTTCAGTACTTCTCGGTACTTAATCAGTATTCTGAGGACCTCCTCATTTGTAACTCGGTCAGTCCACGGGATCTTGAGTATTCTTCGATATAGCCACATCTCAAATGCTTCCAGTTTTCTGCACATATCTTCGTTCAAGGTCCACTAATCAACACCATAAAAAGGACAGATAAGATGTAGCATCGCAGCATTCTTACTTTTGTATCAAGTGAGAGCTTATAACTCTTGAAGAAGGCCCCCATCGGATTGAAGGTGGGTCTAGCTTTTGCGATGCGTGCTCTAATCTCCTGGTTGTTGGTCCATTCTTCATTTATTATGGTGTCGAGGTAGTTGTAGTTCGTCACTCTTTCTACAGGGGATTGGTTGACGTAGAGTTGACCTTCTTTTATCCTTTTCTTGCTAATTAATAATAACTTAAAATAATGGAATAAATGGCTCATACGTTCCTCACAAACTACGTAAAATACAACTGGATAAATTATATTTTGATCTGTTTAAAAGAATTTTTACAGAGCGAAAAATTTACTTGCATACTGTATTTTTAATACAAACTTGATTACACGGCCCGAAGTAATACTTACTATTTAGCTAGACTAAAAACAGACTACAGACAGACCACATATCGTGGTACAGCACAATCAAAATTTGAGAGTAGTTATGAATAGAAAATGAAAACGTTACAAAATGAAATGGAAATCTCAAGAAAAATAGGCCGACAAACACTACTAGACAGAACAAGGAGTAATGATATTAGAGACCTACGCAGAATAAAAAAAAAAATGAATTGGGGCTGGGAAGAAAAAGAGAATGGGACAGCCATACCAGACAAATGGCATAGAACAGAGTATACAGTTCGTCCATGGAAATGGTAGAATAATATTTCACTAGGGTAGAAGGTGACATCGAAAAAAGGACAGGCAATTTGTCTATATAAAACTAGAAGAAGAAGAAGACATTTTCTAAAATACCTTATACCCATATTTTTTTATCATGTTGTAGATTATAAATATAATAAATTTTTATAGTCTATAATTTATATAAATAATACACACATATTAATAAATATATTGTTTTTAGAGATCGCTGCTTACCACTATGAAAAAGACCCTGCAGTTAAAGAGACCAGGAAACAACCTTTGTTTAAGGAAATTCTTCCATTCTACCTTGAAAAGTTAGAAGCCCAAGTAGAGAAAAATAATGGTTATTTGGCTACTGGAAAAGTAAGTTAAACACTTAACTGTATATCAAACCTGATTGATAAAGTATTATTTAATACTATTTTATTATACTTTGATTGTTGAGTCGCATAATAATGCCCCTCTACTCTTTTGCTTAGATAAAACCTTACTATTTAAGGATAATACTGATTTTACCAACAGACAAGGCTAACGTCACCGTCGTAATGAAGACAACTGACTACAAATCGAAAATACAAAATTTTCTAGATCCTGCGGTATACCGGGTGGTGAATCGTCAAACGGGCCATAGGAAACTCAATGGGAAATTTTAAATTGTTGAATTGCTGCTTCCCTAATTATTTTAGATCAAAAGTCATAAAAAAACTATTTGTAGAGGACTAAATTCTTAATTAAAAACAAATGTTAATACCGTACTACGAATCAAATGTACTTCAAAACTTTGCAAAAATATAATGGATTTTTCAGACCACCCCTAAAAGTTAGGCCACACGTAATACAAGAATATATTATAACGTGTGTGTTTTATCATATTGATGTCAGATGTTTGACAATTTGAATTGTCAATTTTTTTTTATTTTATGATTAAATTATAAACAATGAATTTTACTAAATACTTCTACTACTGAACAATATTACTTTGTGAACAATAAATTATATTGTTTACAAATCGATCAATATAATGAAATGTACTCAGTTGACGAAAAATCGCATAATGTTGTATTCAGGCGATAGCGCGAACCTTTTCCTGTCACTACCGGATCTTTATTTAACGTAAGATATGCTAATACACTAAAATTTAATTCCATGTTAAGTTATACAACAATTCAATAAATTCCAATATACTGTTCCTGTGATCTTTATTCCTAATAATAATATACGATAATTTCTAAACATAAATCTATAACAAATGTTATAATATAACATGAATAAAACATTTTTATTATTGCTCTTTTCTCCTTAACTGAGTACATTTTTTAATCAACTTAATTTTTCTTTTAAGTAATAAATCACAAAATTTTGGCTATTTAAATCATAGATAAATATAATATAGTTGATTTAAATATTGTCAAATATTAGAAACGTCAATATGGCAAAACGCAACACGTAATACACATTTTTTCACGGCGTCTGGCCTGACTTTTAGGGGTGGCCTGAAAAATGTATTATATTTTAGCAAAATTTTGGAATACGTTTAAGTCGTAGAACAATTTTAATAATTGTTTTCGATACATATTTGAGTCCTCTACAAATAGTTTCCCATGACTTTTGGTGTAAAATAATGGACTTATAAAATCTTCGTCCGTACCAAAGGATACAAAGCCAAGAATATGCAACAGCGAAGCAGTCCCACCACGCTTGTATGGCTTACCGAAAATATACAAAGACGATGTACCTCTACGCCCTATTGTGAGCTCCATAGGGTCTCCGCCTTACAGCCTTGCTAAATATCTGGCCAATATTTTACAACCACACATACAAGAAAAATCGATGCCTTTGTAAAAGACTCCATCCATTTCATTGAGAAGATCAACGGAATAACTTTACAGGAACCTGACATTCTTATTAGCTTTGATTATTCCCTATTTACAAGAGTTCCCTTAGAAGACGTTCTGAATTTAATTGAGGGACTAGTTTTCAAGGATATGGTGGAATTATACCGTATTTGCCTCACTACCACCTACTTTTCATGGGAAGGCCAGATTTATGAACAGGTAGATGGAGTAGCAATGGGAAGCCCCGAAGCAATAAGCATCCAAATAATTTTAATCGGATAGAAGAAGGACTAAATTTTAATAAATATTACATTGATAAAAGATTAACAAAACATGGATACCAATATTAAAATCCACAAACACCCTTCCCACAAATCTCCAAAAAAGAAAAGCTACAAACAACGACACGACCCCTCATGCCGAAACCACTGGAGGGGAGGCGAGTAGAAAATATAAATACGGCCTCCGTAGTATAACGCGGCGTCAGCCGGGCACGTAGGGCCCAACTTGAGCACCAAGTCGCCGAACTGAGCCGGGACTCAGAGCGGAGACTTGAGGCCCAAGTAAACAATTTTAGTTCGCGGATAAGCTACATTAAGATAGACAGAAATAAAGCGGAGATGCGCTGTCCTGAGTTTTTGCATACGGTTAGGAAACCATGTTGGGGTTCTATTATCCAGGACCTCCACATGAAGAGCACTTGGCTGATTGTTGTGCCTCTATAGCGAATCAGATTGCTATAGGGGGGAAAGGGATGGTCTAGAGCATTGGAGCACGGTGGGGTGATTCCTATTTTTAACTCGAGTTAAAACACCTTGCTCCAATGAATTGTTACACCCGATCGTACTACTTGGATGAACATTTCAAATAGGCTGGGTTCAATCAAATTGCTTGCTTGAACGCGGCGTCAGTTTCAGCTTACAAGCGAAGCAGTCACATCTCCAATAGATGCCAACCCCTAGTGTGGGCGAAAAGTCGAGAACTAATCTCAGAAGACAAGGGCTTAACAGCCCGAACAAACAAATACTGATTTTATCTTTGTATTGTTATTTTTTTATTCGATCTCACTACAAGATTGTTCATAATCATTTTCGTTCTTTCTTACTTCGTAAGTGTACTGGTCGTTAATAGTGTTAGATCGTCTGCGAATGCTATACATTAGGGTGGATCGATAATTACAAAATTAAAAAAAAAATATTTGGAATACCCACAGTAAAATTACTTCTTCTTCTGCCCTCTCCCGGCCTTTGAAAAACGAAGAAAAATGGAGTAATAATCACAAAATAAAAAAAATGACAAATTGAATTCGAATACCCACCAAAAGTTACCGTTAGTAACAGTAATAAGAAAGTATTATTACGACTTTTGGATAAAATTACATCCTCTGCCCTCTACAGGCTTTTGAAAAACAACAAAAAATGTTGGCTTTATTAACAGAAGCCTGCTCCTGGCGGTCCTGGTTTGTTTAGTCTAATCTCATCTGCGGGGGTACTGCGACTTTCAGTAATGTTTGTAAGTCAGCACGTCGCGTACGTACATTAGTTTTCAGTTAGTCGTGAAAATTAAACAGTTTTGTGGTTTTCAGCCATCGTTTCATAAAATATGAGTTCTTCAAAGATACGTTATACTGGGAATGCATTGAATATCCGTTAACTGGTGTCCCTGCAGATTTTAAAGATAACGCTCTTTATTCTAAAGCAGATGTTTTACAGTGTTATTTATGGAATAGGTATAATTTAAAATCTCCAAGCTCAGGGAAGGAACCTACGGTTTTTAAGATATCTAACATACTGTTTGACAACATTTTAAGTATGTCTCAGAAAGCTTCAAGTTAAGAAAAATAATAGTTACAAAATACGTGCTTAGGAATTTCAAACTGAGAACACTCGTCTGTTTGATATTAGCGCTTGCAAATGGGAAATACTAGATCAAAGAAAACCTATAAAAATGATTATTGGATGTATCTATGTAAAGGAACCCTAAAAGATAACAAATAAGGCTAGAAGAATGAAAAAGAGATGCGAAGAAAAGAACTACAATAATCCGTTTAACATAAGAGCAGCATTAACTTATTAAGAAAGTGAAAGCTAGAAACTGATATAGAAATAGATCATGAATTGCCTTTCACTTCGCATGCCAATATCAATACAGAAGTGCAGTGTACACAAAATTATTTCAAACTTCCTAGCTTGGCCAAAGTCTGTGACCGCTATTGTTTATCGGATAGATCTGCAGCAGCTGTGCTACACCTTGGAATTGTTACCAACGTTAAGACGAGAAACGTAATAGACAGAAATAAACTAAGCAGAGCAAGACACTAATTAAGAAAAAGTTTTATGCAAAACTGCCCCGAAATTTTGAAGCCCATATATTTTAACAGAAGAAAAGATACAACCTTCGTTATCGAACATATTGAAGTCAAGCCCCACAGAAGAACCGCACTCGAAGAGCATGTTTTATTAGCTCAATATTTTAGGTCGCTCCCTTTCTGGATCAGCTCGAAGCGTTTGTCAAAGTATTGTGAACTTTTTATTTCCTTTTATTCGTGTCACAATTTCTACAGGGGAATGTTCTGTCGGTTTATTAAACCGAAGCCCAGAAAAGTTGAATCATTCTCGATAGTACACGTTGGCAAATAATCTTATACGTCTTTATGTTAGTAATGTAATCCACGATAGAATTAAATCCACGATAGACATTTATCATCACTGTTTATGCTCCTTTATGGTTTCAGCTTAAATGCAACTCATCATGTGTAAATGGTACAAAGCATGTTTTACAAACAATAAAACGTAGTCGATATCTAGAACAAAATTTAAAAATTGTTATAGTCCCTGTAATTCAAAGAAATGCCTTTTTTGTACATTAGCTTGCATATAAAAGAGCTTATACTCCGTCTCATTGCAAATACTAAGGCCAATAATGATTTAAATTAGATTCTAAAGCTATTTTCTTGTAGCATTTTAAAGTAAAATAATTACTATTTAAATGAGAATAAGCCATAATTAAATGTTAAATTAAGTTTGTTGAGGTTTTAATTTCCATTTGGGAAATCGTTCCCAAAATAAAACCATTAGTAAATTTACCTAAAGGTCCCCATTATTCCCATTTAAATAGTAATTACTTTTGTTATTCCTCAAATTAATTTTGACGCAGATAACTATATTGATTTTCAAAACAATAAAATAAATTGCCCTCCATTGCTTCAAAGTTTGAAAGTATAGGATTTGAAAAATATTATGTCCGGTTCACTGTCACACCCAATATGTAGAGAGATTCGTGAAGCACGTAATTGTAGCATCTTCATCGGTGGTTGGGTCACAAAAAAGAGACAGATTTATCAAGGCAAAAATTGAATCGCGCAAAGATATGCCAAAAAAAAATACTAAAAACAATCAATAATCACAATTAAAATGGAGGGTAGGGACTGGGTAGAGGAGTAAAATTGACATATTTCTCAAAGATATTACAATTGATATCATTTTTATAATAACATGTATTTATTACTTAACTTTCCAATTAAAATGATAAGTTCGTATTTTTTATTTTTTCAACCCCCGATAGAGGGGAAACAATGAACATTTTTAAAAAAATTGCAAATAAAGATTAGATTGGTAACTTTTGCGCACTTCCAAAACAGTTTTCGAAACTTCGATTTTTCGATCCACCTTACTATACATTGATGACAATTTTTAAGTATTTTTTATTGCATGCTAGATATTGAAATTTTTTTAAATCGATTTTCTTCAGTTAGAAGTTTTAATTTTTTAATTTTACTCTACTTTTATCTAAAATCTCATAAAAAGTTTTTATCTTGTAGATCTATTAAAGCTACAAATTTATTAATAACAATTTTACCAGCATTTTTAAATGAAATCAGCAAGTAAATATCGTATCTATTTCTACATGAGTAATAATAAATATTGATTAACCTTATCCTTCTAAAAAACACTCATTTTATATTGTTTTTGTACACACTTTTTATGAAGTGTTTTGTTAGTTGATAAATAGTGTAAAAATACACTATGTTTATATTTATCTTATCTCCACGTGTATATTGAATGCAACTATTTAAGTATAATGAACTTTTTATCGTTGCTTATATGTATATGCATTTATATACATAAGAAATACTGGATATGTATATGTACCGTGACTGTCGATATAAACAAACAACACAGTTTATTAGGGCCGCAGTCAGAAGTTTGGCCCGGATGTTACATTTGACTTTTGGTCTAGCTTTCGGAATTGTTTATTTCCTTTTTTAAGACACTGTAATAAGAAGAATGTTTAAATATTTACAATATATCACGATTCGTCAGTGCAACTTACTAGTCGTTGAGATTATTTATATAAAGCTTTGCCACTCAACATTAATAACACACATAAAATATATCATATAAAATAATGGACAAAGTACATTTTAAAATTTCGTTAAGGATAGTAAAACTTCGTTTATGACATCTTTTAATGGTGTGTTTTAACTCTGATCCATAGAGAACAGAAAGAAAAAACAAAAACAGTATGATTAAAATGTAATAAGGTGTTCTTCATGTTTTATTAATGGAAGTAGTATAATAAACCGGTCTTGATGGTATGCAACATGTTATGCATACAGGTGTATTATGGTTTGTATATGTAAAAGTAAATCTTTATGTTATTTTTGATGTTTTGTCAGTAAATAACAATAAATGTTGCTCAGTTTATCTATGCTAGACTTTTTATTTATACAAGACGTACTGGATTTTATGAAACACGTTTCCAAGAAAACACGTTTTGGACGGTTCTTTTCTTTTGCCAAAATACAGGAATCCTGGAAATTAAATTCATGTTTTAACGTTAATGCATGTTCTGTGGGCGCACGTGCAATTATTTTTTTGTTTTCCAGTTCTGTTCTATATTCCAGTTCTGACACCTAAGCTAATAAATATTTTCAAAAACGTTAGTGGCTTAAAACTTACAACTAAGAATGTGAATACGGTATCGAAGTTGTACACAAAAACAAAGGATCCTTTCACAATACAGGAGTCATCGAATGTTGTTTATTTTATACCGTGTACCAATTGTAACAACGTGTATATCGGAGAATCATCTCGTAATTTTCACAGTAGGGTGATCTCACATCGTAGCAACATAAAAACAAAAAAAAAAAATATATTAAATGCATGTGCGCTCACAGAACTTGCATTAACGTTAAAACATGAATTTAATTTCGAGGATTCCTGTATTCAACGCTCGTCTATCGAATGAAATGTCTGCCCAAAACATTGAGCCTCTTCCGTGCAACACGTGCTCGTCGAACACAAGCAGCATATCGTTCCCCACGTCTTTTGTACGTTTTGATGCAAGCGTCTTAGTCATAAAGAACCATCCTGACTCATCACTAAATAAAACATTTCCAATCTTCTATCGTCCAATGCTGGTGGTCCAATCTCTAGTAAACCCAAGTCGGTTTTTTCGATATGCTGCTGGTAACAAAGGTCCTGTTGCTGGACAGCGAGCCCTTAGATCAAATTTCCTCAACCTTCTTTTCACTGTAGAAGTGTTTAATGTCCACTCGTGAACATCTTGAAAACGGTTTTAGATTGCTCTAACCGTAAAGAACCGATTTTGCAAAGAACTGCATTGTAAAGAACTTCTCGTGCCCGATCCTAGTCGTAGTTCGTGAAATTCAGTCTCTATGAATGGTTGGTATGTTTTTGGACCATACAACGACTCTACCCACTTCTCTTTGACTCATTCCATCATCAATGAAAGTTACAATTTGAACATATCTAGCAAATCTCTCAGCCATACTTTTAAATTTAAAAATTGCTCAAGTTTACTCTTTAAACAACTGTACACTAATGAAAGATTTTTGAAAAACAGAACAGCCATATTCCAAGAAGAACACTGTACAAACAACACGTGCATTCTCCGAGGTCGTAAAATACTATTTATTAAGTATACTTATGTGTTTATAGTACATAGCAAACGCAGTGTATAGCATGATGCTGAAATTCCATGGATCATAACGTAAAGAATTAAATTATAGATGCTTTATTATGAATAGTGACCTACTTACGCATTCTTTTTTTCGCAAATCCTGTTATTTATGATTAAATTTATAAATCATTTTATTTGTTTCAGTTGACTTGGGCTGATCTGTTCTTCGTCGCTCTCTTGAAATACTTCCAGGTTATGCTCGGAAAGGATTTAGTGGAAAACTCACCAAATTTGAACAAACTCAAAGAGAAAGTACTCGCATTGCCCAATATCAAAGCCTGGGTAGACAAACGTCCTGAAACTACATTCTAAATGGAAATATTTACTTCTTCTATGTGAATTTACTCATTTCGAATAAAATGACAATTATTTTTAAATTTGTTCTAAATTGTATAATAAATAAATCAGTATAGCTGTTGACGTATAGGACCTTTTATTTTGGAAGAATCTTCTAACCAGAAAAGAACAAGTTTCGAAAAATAAGTAAAACATTTTCTCAATACTAAATAAATTTCTAAATAAATGATGAAAAAAATAGTTTTTAGAGAGTAAAGTAGATTAACGAAACAACTACTTTGAACGTTTTTGAAATATTTGAGATGATGTGTAAAGATATATAAAAAAGTCTGCCATATATATCGAACAGAGATCCGCTGTGGATCAATCCGGATTAAGTATTATTTTTATATAAGGGTATAAATAACTAATTCAAAAAATATTTTATATTTAATTTAATATTGTAGTTTGTATTAATAAAAAAAAAATCAAATCCTGACTAAAGCTGTAAAAAATTAAAAATAATGGCAAGTGGCTTATGGCAAAATGTATGGGCTTCATAAAGTTGAATGTAGTTTTAACTCCAGTTGTTGTTAAATGTATAAGAATGGGACAAGAAAAAAATAGCAATCAAACGAAAAAAACTAAAGCAAGAGACTTTGTGTTAGTGAAATTTCAAACATTTCCTTGCCAAGTGGTTTTACAAAAGTTTTTTAAAAGAAAATATCCTTCAAAATCAGGACATTTGTATTTTGTATTTTTTTTTATTTTAATTACTATTTTCTTTAGGAATAAGCCAAAATATAATTTTTAAAATAAGTTTGTTTTTGACGTTTTGATTTTCTCTTCGGAAATCATTCTCAAAATACAAACATTACTACATTAAACAAATCATTTAATTTTATCTGACTCATTGACAATTTAGACATATATTATTAATTTTAAAATAAATAGACGACTTTAAAACAATATTGCCAATATCGTTGAGTTGCATTCCTGGGATGAATTTATTGTAAGAGATGAAATCAACAACTTGAGAATACCCGTCAGAATAAATTATTGCACACTTTAAAAAGTCAACCACATGCAATGATGACGACAGTAACATTTTTCCATTAGTGATTCCATAGTAAATCATGAAGAAAAATTAGGAAAAAAACTCAAGATGCTATCCTGACATGGTAAACATTTGGCGTTACATTTAATTTACGATCAATAAACACCAAACTCTGGTTTTATATGTATGTTATTTAAAAACATAAATGATGTATCCTCGATATGTTAGTGACTTACTAAGAGTGGTATTTTCTTTTTATTGATTTCCTCTTTTAATATCCTACTCTTCCTCTGCCGAGGAACTTGCCATGTAACTGGTGTCACTTAGCATAATTAAGGCCGCTTCTTTGATTTTTCTCGTTTTACCATCTGTTTCTTTTAGGACTATACTTAAATCTTTTTATTGAACCCGATGTTTATTTTCCCATGCATGTTTACATATTTGTGATCTATCAAATTCTCTATTGATTGATGTTTTTTTTATTTAAACAAAAATGACCCTGCATCAACTACTAAGAGTTATTAGCAGGGGGGTACAAACACAAATTACAAGTATTCAATTTCTTACAGTGTATATATAACTTAAATATGTTCTCTTAAATACTGTAAAATTTAATATCTTTCAAATATTTCAGCTCTTGGTTGAACTAACTTAGTAGATCCTTCATGTTGGTAGAGAGGTTATTTTTTCTTCTTTCTTGGGTGTATGTTTTGCACTCTAACAGACTATGTTTCACAGTAATTTGGATCTTGTAGTTGTGGCAGAAAGGGATGGCTTCTTTATTAAGTGAATATGGGTTGGTATAGTATGTCCTAATCGTAGTCGAGTTATTATCACTTGTTCACAACGTTTGAGTGGGAGTGTTAGGTCTTGATGTTTTACCTAAATAAAAATGATAACATTCACAAGATATTTTATAAACACATTTCTTTATTCTTTCTTGTTAATTGTTAGTTTAAGTTTTATATAAAATATATCTCAATGTACTATTCTGTCTACGTCCTCATATCAATCAATGGTCGGGTTCTTACACCCGTACCATGACAAAAAATTTTTCAATTTTTTAACGTGTTTGTGAAGTCCAGTGTCGGCTTTTTATATGTTTTTTATATGTTTTAAGAATTTCAACACCTAAAAAATCATAATTTTGAAATTTAAGGAAATGAGATCTCTCCTTTGTAGTGGTATTTAAAAAATTGACACAATTCTCAATGTGTTTGTTGTTTTGAATGTTGTTGAAATGTTGAATTTATTTCCTACTATTTTAAATTTTTTCGATAATCCTTTTATGTATGTTATAATTTTCCTCTTATTATTCCTTCTTAATGTTGTAGGATCCCATTATAAGTTGTTCTGTTCCATTCGGTCTATTAAAAAAAAATCATTATTTATAAATGATGTAGCATTTTTAAATTCTTTGGTATATATTAAAATCAATCCATATACGTTAAAACACCCAAAAAGTATTTTCAATCCTTTTTGCGTCGATGAGTTGATAATAAACACATTTTAGAGTTGGTTTATATATCCCAGACGCATATTCGTTGGCATTTTTTTGGATCGTTTTCCGCTTAATATTGCGTTTCAAATAAACATCCATTTAGATCGCTGAGAAAGTATTGCGGGGTAGAGAATTATATCACTCTCGGTAAGGCCGGCCGCTGTTAAAGGCGTGTTTAGTTTAATTCTAGTTCAAATTTCTCGTCAAATTCGTAATCTTTTCATTTTCCTTTTGTTGCCATGGAAATGTAGTATAAAGTGACAGTAGCAGTTAAATGTGTAGTATTGAGCAGTTAATAGTTACAGTTTAAGTGCGGTTGGAAAGATTGGTCATTGAGAGCACACGACTGCGTGTGTAGTTTGAGTGAATCGGCAAATTGGTTAAAAAAAGTAACTTATACTCAATGTAATATGTCAATTTTCAACGAGTAATCACTATTTTTGTTTTATGTCGTCTCTCATCCGAGATATTTGTAAAACGGCGTTTACAATAACTTTGAAGGATAACCACATGTGTTCCAGTTTTTTAAGTCAGAGTCTAAACTTTGTGTCTCAGTGAACAGCTTCCAATCCTCATTTTGTCTGTTTAAAGTCATTCTAGCCTAATTCGCAGTGAGTGTTGCAGTTTTTTGCGTGACAAAAAATCTCCAGTGAAGTCCAGTTCCAACCTCAGAAATTTAAAGTAAAGAAATTTTAGTGAAATCCAGGTAACTCTTTTGTGTTGATTTTTTAAGGAAAAATGAAAATTTTCTAATAATAATTGCTTTAACTTAAAAGGGGTACTTACATGAATCTACTGGACAAACAAAATACAAGAAGGTTCTCAAGCTATTTAAAATGGACGCCGCTTTGAGGAATCTTCCTGCTGGATGGAAGAAGAGGCTCTTCCTTCCTAAAAACACAAAAAATGGGTTAGAGAGTTAATTAGGAGAAATAAACAAAATGGTTTAGGGAAAAATTAAATATTTATTACTGTCTCACCACAAACAGTTACAAAAGTAAATAGTACAAAAATACTACATTAATAGTTCAAAAGTAAATACAAAATAATATAGAAAAACACTTACTATGCCCTATATGTTTACAAACTCTAGAAGTTAGTAAGGAGATCAAGAATTTACAATAATTGTTACTGGGCGATAATTTGTAGCAGAAATAAATTATAAATGAAAAATAGCTTTTTAAATGAAACTATGCATAGGGGTGTAAATTAAAATGGTGTCTGGAGAAGACGATACAACTTCGAATTCTATAGAATATACCAGGAACCAGATATCGTAAAACACACTAAGATAGGACGTCTGAGGTGGGTAGGTCATGTAATGCGGATGGAGCAAACCGACCCAGCTAGAAAAACGCTCCTTGATAGACCTATTGGTCAAAGAAGAAGAGGAAGACCCAGAACAAGATTCCTAGATAACATAGACAAGATACGAGAAATATGGAAATACGTGCTTGGCGGAGGAAGGCGATGGGTAGGGATGACTGGAAAAAAATTCTTGGGGAGGCTAAGACCCACACATGGTTGTAAAGCCAAAATGATGATAATGCATAGGGGTTAAACTTCTTTAAAAAACAAAACAAACAAAATTTGTTGTTAGGTATTGATCAAATGTCAAAAAAATAAAGCTAGCTGTGAGATGTCAATATTATATTTTAAAACTTAGAACAATTAATATGAAGCTAAGCCACACCATAAGATCTACAATTTTAATTATTACAATTTCTTAAATTGTTATGAAATCAATTATTATTAGAAAATGTTTATTTTTCCTTTAAAAATCAACACAAAATAGTTACTTGGATTTCACTAAAATTTCTTTACTTTACATTTCTGAGGTTGGAACTGGAGATTTACTGTCACGCAAAAAACTGCATCTCACACTGCGAATTAGCCTAGAGTGACTTTATATAGACAAAATGAGGATTGGAAGCTGTTCACTGGGACGCAAATTTTAGACTCAGCTTCTTAAAAAACTGGAAAACATGTGGTTATCCTTTCAAGTTGTTGTAAACGCCTCAAATCTCTTAGGTGAAAGACGGCATAAAACAAAAACAGTGATTACTCCTATTAGAACTGACTATCTATCTATCTAATTAGCCTTCTTTGGTCCATCTTTGGACATCGGCCTCCCCAATCCTTTTCCATTCTTCTCTGTCTGTCGCTACAGTCATCCATCTAGAACCCACGTGCTTCTTGATATCATCCGCCTATCTCATTTGGGGCCTTCCTCTGCTTCGTTTATATTCCCACGGTCTCAAACTTAAAAGAATTTTGTTCCATCGGGCTTCTTTTTGTCTTATATTGTGTCCGGCAAATCTCCATTTCAATTTTACAACTTCTTGTCTAACATCCCTCACTTTTGTTTTCTCTCTTATCCACTCGTTTCTCTTTTTATCCATTAGTCTTATGTGCAACATTTGTCTTGTCAGTGCAGAAGTACACTGCTATGCAATCTTACTTTTTTAGAACGGTGTAGGGACGAAAAGGTAATTCCTAAAAGCATGAAACTAAGTTTTCACAAAAAGAACCAGAAAACCAAAAACATCCTAAGACGGGCTAGTTTAGCACTGATTAGAGAATCCATCCATGACACCAGACGAGAAATCGATCAGATAAACTCGAGATTATTAAAACTTCACCTGATTCTTGGCAACACATTACATCCGGTACTATGGAACATATTAGATACGCTCAGCAACTTTCGAGCAGAGACAAACGCCGACTTAACAAAAACAAAACAAATTAAGAAGGTCGAGAAACTATCATTAGAACAACAACCGAGAGAAACGCCACAACAAGATACCTGTAAACTGGTTTATAATTTTTCGAACTTCCCACTAGATGAAGCCACAAAGAGTGTTCTTTCGAAAGGTTTTAATTTCGCAGTAGCTCCTGCACGCATACCGATTGAAAATATTATATGCGAAGTGGAAAATTCAATAACCAATATACTATCCGACACGGCCGAGACTATACGCCAAGACGTGTCACGCATATTACGAACAGCTAAACCGCCAAAACGAAACTTAACACACGAGGAAAAAGGGGCATTAAATTCACTTCGCAAAAATAAAGAAATCATTGTACTTCCAGCTGATAAAGGCAATGCTACGGTGGAATGTCATAGACTACGATCAAAAGATGAAAGATATTCTAGACGATCCATCATACGAGAAGATATCGACTGACCCGACAACATATCTAGAAAAAACAACAAAAGCAAAAATACAAACATCTAATATTAATAAATTGAACCCTGCCATTTACTTCCATGCAGTAGTATAATCTATTTTGAAATTCTTCTCTGACATTGCTTAACACATCTGCATTTAATTGTTGACATCCATCCTCTATTCTTCGTCGTAGATCAGCTAGAGATTCTGGTTGAGTAGCATAAACTTTTGCTTCTATATACCCCTTTAAAAAGTCTAGGGGTGTTAAATCCGGAGACATAGATGGCTAATCCATCATCTGTCCTTTTCTGCCTATCCAACGACCGGGGAGCGTTTCGTTTAAAAATTGTCACACATTTAAAGCAAAGTGTGGAGAAGATCCATCATGTTGCAAATGTAAACCAAATTGCTCCAAATGCAACCAAATTTTCATAGAGGTTATCGTCATTTTCTAATAAGATCAACCGCTTGCCTAAGTAATTCAAGATACGATGCCCCATTTAAGTTTCCAGTGATATAAAGAAGGGTCCGATAATGTGATTACCTAGGATACCACACCATACGTTTAACCTTTGAGGATGCTGTGTGTGAATTTCACGTTTCACGTTGTGTTTATCACTCTCTGCAAAGTATCAGCAATCATGTCTGTTCACCAAACCATTTAACGAGAATGAGCATTCATCCAAAAGCAAATATTGTTTAACGATTGTGAATTGTTAATGATGCATTGTGTCATTAATTCGTAAAATTTGAGACGACGATCAAAATCTTCTTCATTTAACGCTTGTACGAATTTAATTTTATATAGATGTTGTTAATATTATTTTTGTAATATAAACCTACAATTTTGATTCCTTCTTGCAAAATGTAAACCATTTTAGCGATCAAATTTCAGACGTATTAAAATAGGCTGTTACAGGTTATAACAGGTTATAACCGATTAAGATAATTCTCCAAATAAGATTAAAAGCCTTTGATAAAAATTTAATAAAAAAAGAAGATTTTTTTTTCTTGATTTTTGAAGGTACTAAAATAGTACGGTTAAATATTTAAAAAGTTTAAATTATGCTACAATCTATTTTGTTACAGTCAATTAAGTTGAGAGAGATACTATCTTGTTAAAAGAACAATTGTCTATCTCATAAACTAATCACTTCAAGCCAAATGTATTATACATTTTTAAAATCAGTACAAAAAAATAGAATCCAAATATAAGATAAAAAAGGGAAAATAATTTTAAAAAAGTAAAGGGTGATACGGGGGGTGAGAGGATGCATTTCAAAGCAACCTTAAGTATGATATAATGTCTCCCCCTTAATTGACGTGTTTTTCCGTTTTTCCTAAAAATTAGAAGTTCAAAGTTACATATTTAAGGTGGATAGTTTTATCTGAAAAGCACTGTATAACACTTTTTGTAATAAAATCTATAAAAAAATTTACAGCTTTCAAGATCTTTTAGTTCTGAGCACTATGGGCAGTGAACTTATATTTGTTTCTTTTTTTATTACATGTAACAATAATTTAAATATGACCGAACACAGAATTTTCTATTATTTTTGTTATAGATCTGATTTTTGCCATTTTCAAACTGTCTCAACTTTTCTTTTTTCCTTGCTGTTAGTTGGTCAGTTGGTCAGGATATGCTGGGTTCTGATCGGCCTATGGTGGAGCAGTACGGCAAGAGATAAGGGCTTGCGGCTGGGTGATACTCCTCCATAGATCCCTACCGGACGGGCGTAACGCCTAAAAAACCGGATATATATATATATATATATATATATATATATATATATATATATATATATATATATATATATATATATATAGTTGGTCAGTACGGTGCAGCCAAGTTAGAAAAGGATTAACGTGGGAAAGGATTAGTACAGGAGCAATATATATATATATATATATATATATATATATATATATATATATATATATATCTCTGTTTCACTAAAACAAAATTTCATTATTCCACTAAGATGTTATTTTAATATTTGTACCTATTATATTTTCTACTTCACGCTTTAGACTACTTTTCTCAGTCTTGTTTGTTTTAGGATTTTTTCGTCAATTATTTACTGAACGTTCTCCTTTATCCTGCATAGTTTTTATAACTGCATTTTCTTCTAAAGTTTTGCTATTATAGTACTTTTGAATGTACATGTATCAAACATTACATCACTAACCTTTGCTCTGTTCCTGTTTTATAATGAAGTACATTCGTTAAACAATAAAAAATATTGTAAGTAAGTCGTAGTGAGTTAAATACCCCTATTTATTATAACGTAAGATTTCATAAGAACGGCTTGTCAACTGTACAAACACCTTGTTCCTTGAAAGCATCTCTGACAGTTGGATTAGTACTTTAACATATTTATCAGATAGGCAAAATAAATAAAATACCAACTATGCCAACTAATTTCTCCAACAAATTAATTCAGCTTTGTGAATTTTAATACAATCGAAAAGAACATGTCTATACGTATTTTAGTAATATCGCTATTTATTGTGCAATGCTCGAATGCTAATGTATTCTGGGATGCAGTAACGCAAACTGTATTGGCTACAAAAGAACCAATTTTGAAATTAAATATAAGTAGACGATGTGCTTGGCAACTAGAAGTACTTTATGATAATGTAGATATAGTATACCAAAGTAAGTAGACGCTATTATTAAACTAATAATTAATTATTACTAAATTTAAATTATTTAAATGGTTTTCTTTTATCAAAAAGGTTTAGGTTGTGTAATCTGCGTAATAATATGTAGTATCAATATTTTTCAATAATTTACCATATAAAGACTTGATAGTACGTCAATATTACAGTAAACATTTCGTCTAATAGTCCTTATAAAATATCATGAGATGTTAAGGACTTTCTTCTTGGTTCATATATTTAACAATTTGTTGTAGAAAACTACGTACATATTTTACTCGAAGAGGGACGCTGATACATATGACAGTGAGTTTGTGAGGCAATTGAGATCATTAATTTTATCTAGAATTAAGACGAAATGTTTAAACCATATTGTTGCGTATTTTCTGGTTACTTTTGATATAGTTACTGGTGCATTGGGACTATTACACCCCATTTACTTCGATATGTGTCCGATATTCAAATAAGTCCTATATCCTTTCGTACACTCTGTAGAGGAAAGTCGCCTAATATGGGGTACTTTTTTAAAAAATATTAAAAAATACCGTAATTAATTTTAGGCACTATTTTTAAATTTAATGTTGTCTTGGATACGTTTTAAACATTAAGTAAAAATAAACAGCTTAAAAAATATAAAAGGAAACAGGCAGTATTTAAAAAAAAGGTTTTCTACCCCATATTAGAGGCATAGGATTAAAACTACACTGTGGTACAAAATTAACCGGACACTCAGATTTTTCCTAAAACTGGCGTTTATAAATGTTTAAGATGTTCTCAATTAAGTATTTAATAATAAACAAAATTTAAAAGTCAAATTTATTATAACTCAAGAATGTTACACAGAAAAAAAAACAATTAAAAAAATTTGAAAAACTGCAAAGAAACAAAAATTATTATTTTTTTAAATATAAACATTTTTTATGGAAAACGATATTTAGTAGAGTGTATTACCTCCACGAGCCCAAATTACGGCTCTCATTCGATCAGGCATATTTCGGATTAAGGCAGCAAATTTTGATTGAGGGATTTACTCCCATTCGTCACGAACTGCTTGCCCAAAATCGTTCATGATCTGTAAACGAATAGACGAATCCCAACTTCATCCAAGTTACTTCCGTGTTATTTTTGCGATTTGCGGACGAGCATTATCTTGCATCAGACGAAAGTTTTCTCCAACAAATGGGGCAAATGGTATTACATGATCTTCCAAACATTGCTGAATATACCGTTCAGCATTCAAATTGCCCCCTTAAATTGTAACAAGTTCTGTGAGCCTCTAGGGGTCGGCAAGTAATTTTATGTGAGGTCCGGATACTAGAAGAAAATTTGAACAAGGTCCAGAAACACAAACAAATGATAACATTTATTGACAATACGTTTTTTATTTTGGTACATTCTTAATGATAAAACAAGACCTTAAATTAATGAAAAAAAATTGCACCGACGGTCTTGAGCTAGTTGTTTGTGGGTTGGTTCTCGAGTCGAACAACAAATTCGAAGTGTATCTTCGATCAAAAAATTCATTTTTGAGAAAAACGTTTCCACATATACGTTGAGCCAAACATAGTGGCCAAATTGATTTCAAGTTATCTGTAATTTTCATATTTTGCTGGCATATGTTTGGCCCAAAATTCTTCGGCGGATACCCATTTATAAACGTGCAAGGACAAATTTTCTAGTAATTGAATAATCTCCATTTGAAGTAATGCTTTTGACAGAGCAAACAACTTAGCAGCCACAATAGTCCATTCTGCCACTGCATCAACTTCAAATGATGATTTTAGAAATGAAGATAGTTTGCTTACCTGTGGAAAGTCTTGGAATCTTGAACAAATTGGTTCCTAAAATCGCCCAGAAATTTTACGAACACTGCAATGTCTTATTCGGAGTACTCCTTACTTGTATTTTATTCACGAATAGTTGGAAAATGAATGAATTCTAGTTGTGCACTATCTTTTTTAAAGATATCCAGCTTACGACGAAAAGCAGACACGCTTTGTATTAGATCACATACTAATTTTCAATTTCCTTTTAACTCTGTGTTAAGCGCATTAAAATATTTTAAAATATCTTTTAGAAAAGCCAACACCAGCATGTTGTACCTGTTTGTTATTTACTCAAAATATGCCATGGCTCCCTGCGTATCTATATTTTGTAAGAAGGAGATCACATGTTCTTTTATTAACCAGAAACGTTCAATAACTTGACCTTTACTTAACCAACGAGCATTATTTTGTTGTAGTAAGTCAGAATATGCTTAATCACATTTAGAAAAGAACTCCTTAAAATGTCGGTGCTGAAGAGCACAATGAGATCTCATAAAATTAATTAACTTCATTAAACTGTCCATGACTTCTTTAAATCTAGCACTAAGTTTTCCACAAAGGGCTGCCTGCTGTATTATGCACTGATATGTTATTAAATTTGAATTTTTATCCCTAATTCCATTTACTACACCCTTTTCTTTGTCAATCATTGCTGGGGCCCCATCAGTAAAAAGCGAAATCATTTTATTATAACTGATGTTAGATTTAGAAATTAGTTCATCAATAACCTTGAATAAATCTTCTCTTCGAGTGTTACCTTTCAGCGGCAATATTGCTAGCAACTCTTCCCTAAAAATCTGACACTCAATATCAAGAAATCTTACAAAAACAGACATTTGTTCATCATCAACAATATCACATGATTCGTCAAGTGCTATGGCGTAACAAGGTGCCTTTTGCAAAAGATTAAGTAGAGTGCTTTTAATAACCGCAGCTAAAATTTCCGTCCTTCGTGTATTACTTCGCGCTGACAATGAGATGCTTTGAATTGCTGAGGCAACGTATTTTTTTCTTCAAAAAGTGAGTTAGCTACTTCCAGCATACATGTCTTCATTATCACAGAATCAGAAAAATGTTTTTGGTGTTTATTAAGTATTCAGCACACACGCAACGGTGCCTCTGTTGATTTTTCTTGGTCGCTCATGCAGCGAACTAGGATTTTTGTGCATTTTCGGAAGAATTAAGATATTCCAGAAGTTTTTCTTTACGCGCCTAACTGCCAACAGGAAAGTATTTGCTGAACTGCTGATGAGTTGTTTCGTAGTGTCGCTTCAAATTCCCACTTTTAACTAAGGTGACAGTTTTATTGCCTATAAGTGACACTGGAACCGCTTGTGGCCTATCAGGCAGAGTAAAACAATATTGTTCAGTCCATTCTGCCAGAAACTTCCTATTTTCACTATTCACTTTTTTCCTTTTCGGATCAATATTAACGTAGGTACAAAAAATCTTTTATAAATTGAACGAAAAGTTCAAAATTGTAAACGAAATTGAAAACGAATTTTCAGTTATTGTAAACATACAATATTATTATAAAACGATATTTCATCACTTACATAACTGTTATTATGTTTATTTATCATTTCACTTTTTGTTTGAAAATTAACAGCAGTTTTATTTTGAACTTGATTGACTCAGCAACCGATATTCCTCAGTTTGGTCCGCAGTTCAACCTTTCGCGGTCCGGATTTGGACCGCGGTCCGCTTGTTGCCGACGCATCTGCAGATGTATCAGCACAAGCTGACCACACATCTGTAAATCGTTCAGTCTGTGTTAATTACCGGGAGACGCAATATCTACGCGAGTATTAAAAAAATAGAAAGGCGTCAGACGTCCGCACTGAAACCCTTTGATATGTGCTAAAAAAACCTATGCCAATCGGATATCTTGCAGACGCATCTGCGGACGTGATATATAAACAACAGATGATCAAATTACCCCATCTACATATCTCCAGATGCATACGTAGATGTCGTCCGCGGACGCGTCTGCCGATGTGTAGAGGAGCCATTAAATCTTGATTCATCCGTGAAAAGCACAGCACTCCAATCATCAACACCCCAATTAAGATGTTTTCGAACGTGTAAGTGTAAACGTTGCCTCCGATGATGGTGATCTGCTGTCAATAGAGGTCCCATGATAGCTGATATTCTGCACCTTAATCCATATTCATTTAAGCGTCTTCGAACGGTATACACGGAAACTGTGTTTCTTTGGACATTATTTAATCGTTGAACAAGTACTGGTGTTGATAATGCGCGATAGCGTAACGCTTGTAACCTAATAAAGCGATCTTTAACTTGACTTGTGGTTCTTCGTCTACCTTGACTTGGCCTCCTGGTGTATTGTCCTGTTTCCCGAAATCTGTGTATTGCATCAAACACCGTACTTCGAGTAATTCCTAAAGTTTTTGCGATGTAACTAACGCTCCGCTCATCATCCTATAAAGCAACAGCTTGTGCTACTTCTTCTGATGTATAATTTTTTAATACAAGTTTTAAACAGTAGACAAAACAAAAACCTATTACTTAAATTAATACCAAGCCACTATTTCACATTAATAACAAAACGTTTGTGTAAGTGTTATTGCCCCCCTCACAAAACATCTAAAGAGGTTGACAAGAAAAAAACGTTATCGCTAATAAGGCATAAAATATAATTCAAAGAAATTAAACAAGTTTTGATCTACTAAACACTAACAAAAAACAAAAAAATATGAGTGTTCGGTTAATATTGCACCCAGTGTATTTATTTATAAAAAAGTGAATTAAAAATCTAGTCATCTAAGAATAACGCACAATAAATCTTTTTATCAGACAAAAAGTGACAAATATATATACCGTTCTCTTTCACACCCAACACGTGGCACGTCACCCATTATTCACCTCTTGACATCTTCGGAATATGGAGTTTCGCAAAAAATACAAACGGCATCTTATTCAAATTTTTCTACCAGGTCATCTGAATCTTGTCTATCTACATCTGAATCTTAATACTCTACTGCAGGGGCCTAATCTAAAGATCAAGAACTTCTGGATCATCTTTTACGTTTAGTTGGTATTTCTTTGACCACTCACAATTTCTTTTTTTGTTAGGCAGGTTTAATTTTTTTTGTGTATTTGTTTTTGAATTATTTATATTTCTTTTAACGGCAGAAGTTAAAGGTAATTTTCTTTTTTCAATACTGCTCTCTAATTCATCTTTGTATGGAGTGCTTATTGCAATAGCAGCTTTGCCACTTCTTGTACTCTTTTTTTTAGGATATTTTTAGAAGCTGTTGGAACAGGTATCAAATCTACTGCTTCTCTTACTAGTATTTCTTAATTGACTGTTTCCTCGTCTATTGCTTCTTCATTTACTGTTTGTTCTTCTACTCTTTCTTCAACTGTTTCTTGCATTTCTGCGACAGAATCACATTTTTTGAATACGTTTCTGTTGGTGGGAAACATGCCAGTTTTCTTAAACCCATTAATTCCTGTATCCGTGGTTGCTGCTTTTATACAAGCGTTTCAAAAAGTTCCCCCACTAGATAGCCTATTACAACACGTCCTGGATTAAGCCTAAGCTAGTGTGTGATCTCCTGCGTGTAATAAGTTTTGAACGGTGACATAAATGCCACCACGTCTAATGGCTACAGTTTAGTTGTCAAATGCGATGAAAGTAACCCCCTCTGTGGCTCAGTGGTAAGAGCGCCTTCCTTTAAACCTAAAGGTCGTGAGTTCGAATCTCATCTGGGTGGAGAAATTTTCGTTTATTAAAAATTAATGAATGAAAATAATTTCTATCCTTGTGCGATCGGTACTCACCGAAGGGACCGCAGACGTTCGGATACAATTAGCGTCTCTTAGCAAAGACAATGACGTCGACTTTGCTAAGTATCAAGACAATTACTCTACACACGCACACACACACACACACACACACACACACACACACACACACACACACACACACACTACACTAGGTACCTGACTGTACCATGCCAATGATCTTAGTTGTCGAAGCATTAACTCAATAATAAAAAAAAATGCGATGAAAGTCAAATTATGTGTATATGGTTTTCTCGCGCTACAGTTATTACCTTAAAATTTTTTGTATGGGACTAATGATCATCAAAGATCAAGACCACTGGATTGTCCCTGCTAGGCTTTGTTATGCTAATAAAATGGCGGACCCAGTCAACAAAAGTTTCTTGTTGAATCCCCATATACGTGACCTGCATACTTAGATTCAGGCGGAGTGCCATCTATTAGTTCCATTTTCATATTATTCCGAACAAAAAAAAAATGAAAAAGGGCGGTATATATTGGCCTGTTACGCTAAAACACATAATCGTGGTAAACAAAGATCTGCATTTTTTCCCACAATTCTCAGATGTTTATGTTGCACAATGGCGGAGTGCTATCCATTAGTTCCATTTTCATATTCTTCCGGGAAAAAATTAAAAAGAACGGTATATATTGGACTGTTACGCTCAAACATATAACTGTGGTAAACAAAGATCCGCGTTTTTTCCCCACAATTCTCAGATGTTTATGTCGCACAATGGTGAGACCGGTTTCACCAGAATTGAAATACGATCCTTGTGTCTCCATATTACAGCAGCTCCATTTTTATATTCCCTGGTCCTGGTGTTTTGTTATTTTTGGCTTTCTTTAGTGTTTTACTTATATCTTTCTCTGTGATTTCGGCTTCCGCTGTTATTGTTCTCATAGGGTCTTATGAGATATACTTCGGTTTATTCTGTTAAAATAATTTTGTGTAATGCATTGTCCACTCCTTTGATAAAATTATGTGTATAATATTTTTACCTCGTTTATTACTTCTGTTGTTTTTATTTTTATCCGTGCTTGCGTTGATCTGTTATACCCTATCGTATTTTATATGTATCTGCACATTCTCTCAGAGCATTTGTTCTTCACGAGCCTTATTCTTTGCTTCAATTGTTGTCTGAGGGTAATATATTCTTCTCGTGTTCTTGGAGTTTAGCCATTTATGAAACGTACTTTTTTTTCTTTTAATCATCTCTTCTAGGTCATTTCTGTATCTCTCCAAATATTAATTCTTGTGTTGTTCAATACCTAGTACTTCCCTTGCCGCTTTGTTTCTTTTTTTTTTGTTTAGATGTTCATACATTTCTGTTGGGTTCTATTCTTCGTTCACCTGTAGCATATTCTATAGCCTATTCTGATAGTGATCAAATAATAAATTGTCGTAGATATCGTACTTTATTCCTCATATTTGAGATTTTTTGCATCTACTCGTCTCTGGATATTGTCTTTTTATCGACTTTCCGTGTATATGAATTTCCCTTGTACTAATCGGTGTTTATTTGCACATTCTGCTTGTCCGTACACTCTTACATCTTGTATTATTGCTTTGCTGTCTTTTCTATTATTAAACTAATAATTGATCTTTGGTTTCTACTAGGTTCCTCCCATGTGTATCTATGTATGTTTTTATGCTGAAATCTTGTGTTGGTTATGGCCAACTCGTATTCTCGACATATTTCAATTAACCGACTTCCATTGTCGTTTCTAATTTGGTCTTCTCCGAATCTTCCCCTTATATCCTCATCTCCCTTGCCTATGTGGTTTGTAAAATCTCCAATTAGAAGAATGTCTGCTTTTCTTTTTGCCTTGTGTAATATATCCTTCAGTGCATTGAAAAATCTTCCTTTTTCGTTATGGTCTCATTGTCATTCATTGCATAATTATTGTTGGTAGTCCAAATACTCTCATCCCAATTTCCATTATTCGTTCGTTTATTTGCTGGTAATCTTATATGTGTTTTCTCCATTTATTTTTTAATAATATAGATACCTTTTCTGCTTGCTTTTTCATGTTTGCAGATTTCACTCCATATATGTGTATATTTCCCCATAATTTCCTCTCCCTGACCATATTTTTTGTTTCACTTAAGACTATTATATCTGTTTCTAGTTTGTCGATTTCTGGGATTATCTCATTTTGTCTCGCTGCGATTCCTTGTATATTCCACGTTTCTATTCTCATAGTCCTTTTTCTTCGCTTAAGTCTTATATCCTTGTTTTCATCCAAATCTCGAGGCTGTGTTGGATTGTTTTTTGTTACTGCTCGTTGATCAAAACCATTTCCAAATTCAATCTAGGGTCGTTATCGGTAAATCCATCCAGTTACTGAGGATCCATACTAGAAGGGAAATGGTAGGTCTGGATATGGTCTGAGGGTAGGACGATGGTTTTTCCTGTATAGCATTAGGAGATAAACCAAGGCTCGTGTGAGCAGGGGTGCATCGCTGAAGTAGATCTGTCACGTATCATGATCATAGAAGAATATCTACCCGCTATCAATTAATAATGATTTTAGATAAAGAAAAAACAGGGGTTCTATGTAATGAGTATAAATAATTAAGTGATTTAGTTCATCGTTTAATAAAGATTGGTGGTGTCCTCGGTTGGCGCTTTCTAGCAGCTGATTTTCCTTCTAGCGTAATTCTTTGCAGCCTGTGTCCCTCTATTCTTTTTACATAATAGTACTATTCTCTTCGTTATTGCCTACCACAACTTTACTACATATTGTACGTCAGATCGTTCCCTGGTGGTGTTGTTTTTTATTCTAAAAAATAATTCCCAAAATATATAAGAATTTTTATGTTATTGTAGTGCTGGATGCCTCGGCCAAGTTTCCATATGCTTCAATTACTGACTTGGGCAGAACCGAACTGGGAGATTTTGATCGATGCTTGGCCATCGATTCAACTATAGATGAAATTAAAATTTTAGGAAAATATTGTTATGCTGGACTGGTTCTACCAGATTTTGCTGATATATCCAACATTAGTGTAAGTATTTATTTGTACGAACAAAGTAAACTATATTGGTTAAAAAAAAACACAGAAGTTAAAGCACTTCATACATGTGTATTGTGGTATAAAAACAAATATTTAAAAATTTATAAAAGTGTCTTCAACATTTAAGTTCTGGCAGAACGTTTTCGATCTGAACAGATCATCCTCAGTGCCTTGTGTACTTGTAGCTAACAATAAAGTTAATAAAGTTGTCTATAAGACCTCCATGTACAGATTTACAGCACTCTAAATGTTACATTGAATAATGTTTTGACTCTAGGTCGATGACAATGGATAGGTTTTTTAAAATTACTTGAGGGACTACATGTCTCCCTGCTCGATTATTAACATGTGGTACTTGTCAGTTGAAACGACACAGACCAACAACCTGACGTTTCAGTCAGAAGGATGATCTGTTCAGATCGAAAACGTGCCAGAACTTAAATGTTGACGACACTTTTATAAAGTTTTAAATATTTGTTTTTATACCACAATACACATGTGTGAAGTGTTTTAACTTCTGTGTTTTTTTTAACGATGGTATACAGCCAACTACGGGGTTTTTCCCATTAATTTTATATTGATTAAACTTTGATGTACTTAGTGAAATTGTTTCAGTTTAATTTTCTTAATATATTCTAAAATTGTTTTCAATATCAATTTTTAGTTTAGGTTGATTATACGTACTTTTTTGTGGAATAAGATTAGATCGGCTCCACAAAAAATACAAGCGGCCATGTAAGTAGTGCGTCGAATGCTGAGAGAGCATCCATCCTCAAGCCATCCATCCTCCGCTTTGGTCCAGCCTCGGGATTTGGATTTGGTTTTTGGTTTTTTTGTTGTACATTTATGTTGTTTTCATAAGCAGCTAGGAAAAGTTTGGTCGCTTCTGGTATAGCCCTGCATTATCAGGGGAAGGCTTTATACAATGAGATTTGCCCGGTTCCCTAGGGGGATCGTCCACGACCAGATATAACTCTGTGGCCATACAGCTATCGGCACGATACTTTACACCTTAGCTTGGGTAGGTTGCTTCTTGGTCACTGAAGCAGTTCATCCATTCCTAGTCTTTTGACTACTTAGGAGAGATTTCCAGATACTCCAGAAAGCTAATTGGTGTCAGGAACTGCTCTAGCATGGTCGTTATCATCTTTCATTTGCATCTTTCTATACTTTTCAGTCACCAGGCTATTTAACTGGGTTATATAAAAGACAATAAATGCGGCATATACACTGTGGAAACAAAGAAAAAATACACAAAAAACACAAATTATTGTATATTGCGGCAGATATGAATTTCTCATTTCTTTGTTAAAAAAGTTATATGTCTATCAAAATAGAAGGCAGACGACGAAGGGTTTGGAAAATATCTATTTAGAAATCTGAAATTGTTATTCGCTTTTGTCAATTAGTTCACTATTATTTATTATACCTGTTACTATTTTGCCTCCAGTTTCCAATTAAAATATCTAACAAAATCAATTCATGTAAATATATGATTAAATTCCAATATATTATAACTTTCAAATAATATTTGTTTTTAGATATTTTATAAATTGGCAACTTGTACACCAAGCGAATGTACTGCTAGCGATCTTTTGACCATTGGCAATTATGTAATTCCTAACTTTCCTCCAATACTGATCGACGAGTTTTGTACGACAAAAGAAACCGGAAAAGAAATATCTCTTGGGACCTTTGTAACTATGTAAGTATTTATTTAGTTTAGATATATACTACCATAAAACACAATTGATACTTTATATATCCATTTATAATTATTATCAGGGACCAGACCATGCCTGTGCCCGATTGAAGTTTTGTCAATCTTTTGGCGTGTCTCTAAGTATAGGTTTGTACTCAAAAAACCAACCAAATCTCTTGAATTATGTCTGTGCATCAAACAAATATAGTCCTACATTTATTAAATTTTTTTTCTGCTATCCCAGTCGAATTTTCTTGGGTTAGCATTATAAACTTACGGAATGTTTAATTAACATAATTTAATCTATTTGATATTTCTATATATGGTCTGGAGTGTTCTGAGGTGATTGCCAGGTATAAATATCCGTAATCAGAATTTGAAATCGGTATTAGTAATCACAAATTCTTGTTTTGCTGTAAATTCAGTAATTTCTCTCTTTAAACTCAAATCGGTCTATAACTTCTTTAGGGTGATTTCTACCAATTTTGGCAGGGGCAATTTTAGCCGTGTTTACACACGTATCTCGCAGTATGAACACTAAGATCGAAGAGATACGAAGAGTAGATTTGCGTCTGTTGTCTATACGATTCAAAAGTCAAGATGATTCACGGTATTTTTTGCGTGGTAACTAGTGGTTATCACTAAGAGAGAAAAATCTTGTCTGTGAAAGAAATAGCCTTGAAAAGTGATAGAAATGGTTCGTTTAGAATCAACGTAAATTTACTTTTCATGTACTTTACTGTGCTTTTTTTTGCTACAAGGTATCCAGATCGACCACTAGCTATCTGTTGTTTCTAACAAGAATTTAAAAAAGTGAAGCACACAATTTTTTTATTTAACTTCACATATCTACAATATAACAACTTATAACAAGTGTTCAAAATTTTGTCTTTGATCTTCCAGGCGTTTATAGGGCTTTTTTAGTAGGCTTTCCTTTGTTGCACATCTAGTCATTGCTATGTGGGAATATACTGCATTTTTTATGTAGCCCCAATAGCCCCATATAATCTAAAGTTTTCTAAATTATTGCGGTAAATAGTAATAGTTTGCTAAACTATTACAAAATATAATAAATGCGGTAGTTCACCACTGAAAAAATAATAACTGAAATATTTAATGAAATATACAATGCAGGAAAAATACCAGTAGAGTGGCTCAAATCGGAGTTCGTATCATTGACCAAAAAACCAGGAGTAACAGTTTGTGAAGATTATAGTACCATAAGCCTAATGAGCCATCTGCTGCAGCTGTTTTTAAAGGAGATCCACAAAAGAATTTACCAAAAATGCGAGGAACAAATTGAGCCCAATCAGTTTGGATTTTTGAACGCCGTTGGTACGAGGGAAGCTTTATTTAGCGTGCAGATATTATTTCAGAAATGTAGAGATGTCAGCTGTAATGTTTTTGCATGCCTGATTGACTTCAAGAAGGCTTTCGATAGAGTCAGACATGAACAAATGATGGAAGTGCTAAAGAGGACAGGAATTGACGGAAAAGACTTAAAAATAATAGCTAACCTATATTGCAATCAACCAGACAGAGACAGAGGTGCATAATTTCACCATTGATATTTAATCTGTACTCGGAGCACATTTTTGAAGAGGCTTCAAAAGATATTGATGAATGTTTAGTGATTAAACTTGAGAAGTCGCTGGTTTAAATTATATTGAATAAATAATTATAACGAAAAAATGTGATATTGTTGATACATAAAATTGGTGAAAATAGTAATTATAAATTGTAAAAGTAGAAATAAATTAGAAATAAACTGGTTTACTCATTATCAATGTTGTTTTGTACTAAGAACAGACTTACCCTTTGAAGATATTGATGCCGTCTTAACAGGAATTGGTCGTGATACCGACGCTAGCGTCGCCGCCGAGGCTCAGCACGACAACCGTCCGGAACTAGATGCGTGTCGATCGTTGTCTGACGAAGAAGTGGCAATTGAGAATGCGTTGATATGGTCAGAACTGTGCAGAAACCCTCTACTAAGCGGTGGTCCCAGAGGGTGTACCAATAAATCATTCCATTGTATTGCGACCTTTTCGATAATTTTAGCTAATTGTGACGGTAACACGACACTTGTGTGTATATTTTTGAACCATACAAAAGAGAAGCCAAATTCTCCGTATTCACAACATCATAAATGAGATATCCAGTTTAAGTTTTATGAGACAACAGGAAACAATATATTTCAAAAATGTCTTTTAAAATACAGCACCAAATTAGATCACATTACAGTACCGTAACAGAAAAAATATTAACTTTAAAAATATGAAATGAATGCGCGCATACTTCCTCAAACAATGAAGGTATCTCAATAAATGAGTTAAGCTCTATAACCTGCAGTATGCAGATGATACAATACTGTTTTCCAATACTATAGAAGGGCTGCAAAACTTAATGAACAAAATAACGGAAAAAAGTAGAAAATATGGACTGGATATAAACACAACCAAAACCAAGCTAATGATCATCAGCAAGGAAAACATAACTGGAGCAAATCTGTATGTAAACCAAATGAGAATTGAACGAGTCTCACAATACAATTACTTGGGAACTGTAATCAATGAGTCGTGGGACAATACCTAAGAGATTAAATGTCGCATCGGAAAGGCAAAGAGTGCATTCTCCACTATGAGCTCTGTGTTCATGCCATGACCTCACCCTAGAAACAAAAATAAGGCTCCTTAAATGTTATGTGTACTCAGTGCTTCTGTACGGAGTAGAAACGTGGACATTAAAGGTGGAAACTATATTAAAACTTCAGGCTTTTGAGCTATGGTCATACAGAAGGATTGTGAAGATACCATGGACAGACAAAGTCACCAATGAAGTAATGCGGAGAATGAACACAATTGCGGATTTAGTCAACATCGTGAAGGGCTGTAAGCTGCAGTACTTGGGCCATATAAAGAGAAATCAACGCAGATACGAGCTACTTCAATGCATTTTACAAGGTAAAATTGAAGGAAAAAGGGCCCAAGGATGAAGAAGAATATCCCGGCTTGCTAACCTGGTATAGAAATACCTCAACACAGCTATTTCGTATAGCAACCAACAAAGTCATCATAGCCAGAATGATCGCCAACGTTCGGAACGGACAGGCACCCTAAGAAGAAGAAGTTCACCACAGCGAAATATTAGGTTTACATCTAAACGTTTCCAAAACTAAAACTTTAGTATTTTCAAAGACACTAATAAACGTACATGTGTATGCCAAGGGTTAAATAAAAGAACAGATAAATTCCTTAAAAACTAAAAAAAATAAGAGAAAATATCAATAGTCAGTGTAATCAAAAAAAAAAAAAAAAAAAAATACTATCAAAAATCGAACAAGCAAGGAAAACATTCATGAGCATGAAAACATTTTTTACAAGATCAGACCTTAGTCTGCAGCTTAGAATCCGAATGATTAGATGTTATGTTTTTTCTGTCTTACTGTATGGCTGGTAAAATGGGCAATGGACTCTGAAATAGAAAAAAACTAGATGCGTTTGAGATGTATATATACATCAGAGTTACTAATGTTGAGGTACTTCGTCGCATGTGTAAACAAACAGAATTACTAAGAATAATCAAAGACAGGAAAATGCAATACTTGGGTCATGTGTTGAAAGGCGAAAGACACAAAACTACAATTGCCATTTGGATCGCCAACCTTCGCCAAAGGAGACGGCGCCATGAGAAGAAGAAATTATTGCGGTGGTAAATAATAAGCAGCACTGAAACGCAAGCTCTTATCTATTGCTGTACTGCTCATCCATAGGTCGATCCGATATACCAGCATATTCCGGTCTAAGTAGCAGATTCATTTTGAATTCTAAATTACCACGTTAGTCTTTACGTTTTTTGGCCAAGGCCTGAACGCCTTCAAATATAAAATATTTAAAATATAATATTTTCCTACTAATACTTACTCTGTCGCTTCAATCCTGACCCCCCAGAGTGAGTGTAGTGGTCGACGTGATGTCGTGTATTGTCCGTCTCCAGAGATCTCTGTCTCTGGTAATTTCTTTTAATTCATGCATAGGTCTTTGGCATATTCCTGTAATTTGATCTATCCATCTTGTTGGGGATCTTCCTCGTGATCTCCGGCCTTCTACCTTTCCTTGTATTATGAGTCTTTCCATGTTTTCTGTGTTTGCTCTCATAACATGCCCAAAATATTTTAATTGTTGGAGATGGACTTTACTAGAGAGTCGTTGGCTAACTTTTAGCTCTCTTAAAATTGAATTATTTGTTCTACGGTCGGTCTAAGGAATTCGTAACATTCGTTATCAACAGAACATTTCAGTGGCGTCTATATTTCTTCTCTCCGATTGTCTCAGAGTCCAAGATTCACATCCGTAGGTCAGTATTGGGAATATTAAGCAGTTGATCAACCTCATCTTTATCGCTCTTGAAATTTGACAGTTCTTCCATATTTTGGTCATTTTTGCTGTGGCAACTTTTGCTAGATCACATCTATGTTTAATCTCTTCTTCTAATGACCCTGTGTTTGTGATTAATGATCCCAGATATAAGTATGAGCTCACAACCTCGAACCGGTCAATTGTGGTTATGTGTGGATGATTGTTGTGTAGTCTATCCACTATTATGATCTTTGTCTTTGATATGTTTAATTGCAGACCAAATATTTGACTTTCGTTTTCGATCAGTCGTATAGTTCTATCAGCTCTGCTTGACTATTTGCAAGAAGGGCTGTGTCATCTGCGAAACGTAGGTTGTTTAGTTTATGACCATTTATTGAGATGCCCTTTTCCCATCCTTCAAGTGCTCTTCGCATTATATACTCCCCATATATGTTGAATAATTGTGGAGATAGTATACATCCTTGTCTGACACCCCGTTCTGGATGAAATTCGTTCAAAAGTGTGTCAAGTACTTACTAGCTAACATACAGTTACTTCGGATCATTCTCTTTGTATCTATATCTAAATATACTTGCAATACACTCAGACCATTTAAATATACTTACTCATTATAAAGATAGTATTGGCATAATGTTTTACCTATAACCTATAACAAATGTCAAATCTCTATTTTTACTGTTTAAGTAACCTTTATTTTAGACGTACAATGGGCTAAAAGTTGTAGCCCGAAAATGATCGTCTAAAGTAAAATAAAACCAATTCTCAGTAATCCTTTCTTTTCTCACCTATTTAAAAAATGGACTCTGATTTGCAGACAATTCAGCACATTTATTTTATGTTTTAGTGGTCTTTTTATTTTGGTGCTATTTTTAATGATTGTAAGCACACTCTATGACTTCTATTGCAACAAAGTGGGAATCAGTAAGTATGTTTTAGTAATTAAGATAAGCAATTATTTTAAATATGTTTTCATTTCAGAAGTCTCTCATCCTTTATTAGTATCGTTTTCGGTAATTACAAACACAAACAATATTCTTAGAGTATCTTTAAAACCATCAGATGAAACAATACAAACATTCAGTGGTTTTAGAATCATCAGTGTCGCTTGGGTAATAGCGGCACATGGTGTTCAATCTTTTACAACAATGATGATGCCTGCTATGAATATGGATTATGCTATTTCTGTAAGTTCATGTATTAAGCCATTCCTATAGTAACTGTTTTAATTTTTTAGCGGATTTACCTGAGGTATGCCTCATATATGTTTGGTGCTAACCACGCAGTTACAACTTTTTTCTTTATGAGTGGTTTCTTGGTAGGTTATCTTTACTTCAAACGAAAAATTTTGCCTTGGAAGATGCAGGTAAAATATGTTCCTCTATTGTATCTTCATCGATATATTCGGTAAGCTTAAACATTACGTTATTTTATACAATATAACTCTCTTGGGATTTCTTACACTATTTGTTCTTTGAAATATTGTATTAACGGTAGATTGCTTAAGAAAATACCCTACACATTGTAAGTTATATATACACATTATGTAAGTTATACACATAAGATGGCTGAAGTATGGAATTATATAAAAGTTAATTTCACGCCAGAATTAACGATTACTGTTATATAATTTGGGAGAGTTCTTGATTATAATTGATCTGTAATATTCAATATTAACTGCTCGTTACTCTTTAAGATGTTCTCTGGCTTCATTATTATTTAACCCGCTATTACACGCGCTATGAGCGAATCCCTCACCATATTTATTTATACGATAATCTTGACCATCAAGGAATGCGTTTAGCATCGTCTATATGAGATGAAATCGTTTCAAACTATTTTAGGCGGTCAATAATAGTCAGTATGCTGTGATACTTGATCTAAGTGACAGCCCTGTTCAAACGAGGGTATTCCTCACTGTGCGTCACGTTTTTATAATTTCAAAGAAACTTTTGTGTTTTAATTTAATATTTGGATAAGTTTAACGTATATCATTAAAACACTATTATTGTTAGGGTAGGAAGTCATTGCCATTTTCTGTGTACATTTCTCGTAGTAAAATGGATCCGCGCCAAGAACCAAGGAACCATTTGGAAATTCGGGATGAAGCAGAGCCTCTAGAAATAAAACGATAATCTAATAAAAATGCCTCTTATCCTAATGGGAAACATAAAAAAACTGAGACAAATTACTGAAAGCCAAATTGTGGAAACCCGATTTGTAAGGAACGCACAAAAATTTTTCCTGTTGGGATATAGAGGAGGAAGAATATATGTAGATCCATACATCTTTAGATACGTACATTACCTTTCAAACTTTTCTTCATTTGTGTATTCATTGTCTTATTTATCTATTATCTAACTATATTTGATTTGTTTATTCGTTATTTCTATGATTTACAATATTTTATCATTTATTCTGTTAAATTAATAAAAGTATTTCGGAATTAATGTAGGTGAGGGTGACGTTTATAGGCGTGCAACTACGTTAAAATAGAAGACGCGTGTAACAGCGGGTTAATATATTCAGAGCACATTATGAATCTAGCGCTAACTGATGATACAAGATGATACAATAGTGTTTTCCAATACCATAGAAGAGCTGCAAAACTTAATGAACAAAATAACGGAAACAAGTAGAAAATATGGACTGGATATAAACACCAGCAAAACCAAGCTAATCATCATCAGCAAGGAAAACATAACTGGAGCAAATCTGTATGTGAACCAAATGAGAATTAAACGTGTCTCACAATACAACTATTTGGGAACTATAATCAATGAGTCGTGGGACAATATCCAAGAGATTAAATGTCGCATCGGAAAAGCAAAAAGTGCATTCTCGACTATAAGCTCTGTGTTCAAGAGCCATGACCTAAACCTAGAAAAAAAAAGGCTCCTTAAATGTTATGTATACGCAGTGCTTCTGTACGGAGTAGAAACGTGGACATTGAAGGCGGAAACTCTATCAAAACTTTAGGCTTTTGAGCTGTGGCTATACACAAGTATCCTGAAGATACCATGGACATATAAAGTCACCAACGAAGAAGTATTGCGAAGGATGAACACAACCGGGGATTTGGTCAACATCGTGAAGAGCCGTATTACTTGGGACATATAATGAGAAATCAAGGCAGATACAAGCTACTTCAATGCATTTTGCAAGATAAAATTGAAGAAAAAAGGTCCCCAGGACGAAGAACAATATCCTGGCTTGCTAACCTGAAAGCATGGTATAGAAAGGAAAGACCTCAACACAGCTATTTCGTATAGCAACCAACAAAATCATCATAGCCAGAATGATCGCCAACGTTCGGAAGGGACAGGCACCCTAACTGGTATAGACAAGAAAATACTTAATAAATGGAAAACATGGGAACAGCATAAGATACACTGATGGCATTGTCATTTTTGCAGACAGCCATGAAGGTCTGCAGACGGTCGTGTTCAAGGTAGCAGACGTAAGTAACATAAATCACCACCTTTTGCTATTTGGGTGCAAATTTAAACGTACAATGGAAACACTCGGTAGAGATTACGATAAGGAACAATTAGGTGAGTGCAGCTTTCGTCCAAATAAAATAAATCGTTACCAATAAAATTGGAAATAAAAGTTCGTTTACCAAAATGCTACTTATTCTCCGGTACTCTACATGGAGTGGGGTCGTGGACCTTAACTGAAGCATCACTGAAAGACTCAAAGCATTCGAAATGTGGTGCTATAGACGAAACATCACTGAAAGACTCAAGGCGTTAGAAATGTGGAGCTATAGAGGCGTGTCGAGGATTTCCTGTATAGACAAAGTTATCGACGCAGAGTTTAATGAAGTTCTGCCAAGAGTGATAAAAAATGCCATAAAACTGGCCCATATGGCCATCAAATCTGGAGGTGGCTACTTGGCCAATATCATTTTTTCAACTTGATGGAATAAATAATTCTAATGGATTAAATAAACAAATTTCACAAGCAGAACAAACTTAAAAAAAATAATAAGTACAGCAAAAGAACAACGGTTGATTACTTTTGCTAAACCTTGTATATACTCACATGAAAAATACGATGAGTCTATAACATATGTGTACGTAAAAAGAAACGAAAAGATGAACGGTGCGTGTAGGGTAATATTTTGGAAACGTAGCTTTCTTATTGCGGGCTACGGACGGAGCGGTGGATCGCAATGAGGTGTGAAAAAAAAACCGGCGGTAAAAACTGTAATGACTGTATAAGAGCTCTTGTTAACGACAAATGTCAACGGGTAACGGGTCGTTTTTGACACCGTCCCGTTGGCCGTTGCTCAGTGTCTTTCAGGTTCTTATGAATGTTTGTTCACGCAACGGCAACCAACCCGTTGGTTAACTTTTCACCGTCTACGGATCCAGTCCCTCTCGGCAAGACGTTCGACGGGACGGTGCCGTGAACCCTAGGTGAACCATTTTCGTTTATGCAAGTGTGTTAACGGCGTTGGACGAGCATCCGTTGTTTCAATAAATTTCTTTCTTTGTTGTCGCTAAAATATGGATTTTGATATCGGGATTTTAATAAGCTATTTCACCAATAATATTTATTTTATATAGAGTTTGTATATTCTTAAATGATAAATATTTTTTTTAGTTTTTTTTATAACCGAAAGTTTTTATTCTGTTATACTAATAGCATAATTCATACATAGGTAACAGCTAGTCGATCAGCAGGTGCAAGGGATAGCCTCATATTAGTGTCAGCACGATTTAATTTATCATGTACTATTCCTAACAATTTGCGGAAAGTTTCTTGACCTATTCGGAAGTAATTGAAGAATTTTGTTTTGTCTCAATCGTTTCAATTCTTCGTAAAGTGTATGAAAAGCACCATACTTTTCTCTTTCTAATAAAAAAGGATGTATTCATATTTTTCTTTTACGCTTCTCCTGTTGCTTCTGCATTTTTTATACAAATAGCAGGCTAGTATCATTTTTTTCTTTGACGACAACATGATATAACATGTATTGCGTGCACTTGTTACTTTAAAACTGACGATATTTCGGAGATTCCATACTGTCAACGGACGTGTCAACGGACGCATATCCCTTGAAAATTATGAACCGTCAACACGGGTACCCGTTTAGCATCGACCCGTTACCCGTTGAAACAAACGTTCGTTAACAAGAGCCCTAACGACACATTGCGCGACCACACACTACATGGAGTAATAGATGCAGTTTCAGGCGTATTTTTTAATAAAACAAAATAAAATAAAATATAATGAAATAGCATAAAATAGAATAAAATAAAATAGACTATACCTGAATAAAAATTAGTAAATAAAATTTACTAATTAAATCGATTATCGAATCAAATCACACCGAATTGATTATCGAATCAGTTATCAAATAAAATCGAATAGAATTGGTTATCGAATCGAATCAAATCGATTATCGAATTGAATCGAATATCTAATCGATTATAGAATCGATGATTAAATCTATAATCGAATCGATTATCGAATCGAATCAAATCGACTGTCGAATCGAATGGATTATCAAATTGATTATCGAATCTAATCGACTATTCGAATCGATTTTCGAATCGAATCGATTATCTAATTGATTATCGAATCGATTATCGGATTGATTATCGAATCGATTATCAAATCTAATAGATTATCGAACTAAATCGAATCGAATCGATTGTCGATTCGAATCTTTTATCGAATTAAATCAAATCATATCAATTATGTTTCTAGTTTGTTTCTAGTTTGTTTCTAGTTTGTTCTCAATTCTAGAGAAACAAACTAGAAACATGCCAACCAAGAGAACAGGCAGGTTTCCGCCCTGGGTATGGTACAAATGACCATCTAACTTGTCTAAAGGCCCTAATTGAAAAAACTATAGAGTACAACCGGCCACTAGTTCTAGTATTTGTTGACTATAAAAAAGCCTTTGACACTAACGTGATGGTAGCTATCTTAAGAGCTTTGAGAAATTGTAGAATCGACTACCGATATACCAGCATTATTCAACATATATATGCAAATGCCACAACAGCAATAAACCTCCACACCCCTACTCAAAAAATAAAACTAAAAAGGGGAGTTAGACAAGGAGACAACATGTCACCAAAACTATTCAATGCCGTAATGCAGCATGCATTCCAGATGTTAGAATGGGAAAACAGAGGTTTGAGTGTCGATGGCGAAAGGCTGAACCACCTACGATTTGCAGATGACATAGTTCTAATAACCGACGACCTAAAGGAGGCCAACGAAATGCTACAAGATTTACAACGAGTCTCCCAAAAAGTAGGGCTGGAAATAAACTTTGCGAAAACTAAAATGATGACCAACTTAGTACCTAGTGGACCATTGAAACTAGATAACTGGCATATTGAAACGGTTGACAAATACATATATCTGGGCCACGAAATACAAATAAGTAGAGAGAACCAAACATGCGAATTATCTAGAAGAATAGCTTTAGGATGGGCAGCCTATGGCAAGCTAAAAGACGTGTTTAAGGAAAACATCCCAATAAAGCTAAAGAGAAAAGCATTTAACCAGTGCGTACTTCCGGTGCTCACTTATGGAGCTGAAACACTGACATTGACTAAAGCATCAATAAAAAAGTTACAAGTAGCACAACGAAAAATGGAAAGATCTATGCTTGGCGTAACTTTGAGAGACCGAATACGAAATGATGAGATACGGCGAAGAACTGGAGTGGAAGACGTCATAAAACGGATTACGAAGTTGAAGTGGAAATGGTCAGGACACGTCGCAATACAGAGAGACAACAGATGGACAAAGAAGATTTTAGAATGGCGGCCAAGGGCAGACAAGCGAAATCGTGGAAGACCACCTACCAGATGGACGGACGACATTAAAAGAATAATGACAAACTGGATCGCAGCTGCACAGGACAGAGAAGAGTGGAGACATCTTGAGGAGGCCTATGTTCGACAGTGGAAAAATTTGGCTGTGTGATGGCTATCGATTATCGAATCGAATCAATTATCGAATCGATTATCGAATCGAATGGAATCGAATCGAATAGAATGTAACCAAATATCGAATCTAATCGATTATCGAATCGAATCGATTATCGAATCGAATCGATTATCGAATCAAATCGAATCGATTACCGAATCAAATCGAATAGATTATAGAATCGAATTGTTTATCGAATCAAATTAAATCGAATTTTGGTGGGCAAGCGTTTCTTTTTGAATGTTATAAACAGTGACTTCAATCAATCATCTGGTATTATTCCTTCGTTGTAAATTTTGTTAAAGAAAGTGGGTAAGTAGTAGTATTTCCCTTGTCCAAAAGTAGCTCAGCGGCGATTTGATTTGGTCCAGGTGCTTTATTATTTTTATATGAACAGACTGTTATGTTTTTGTTCACATGTATGACAAATCAAAGAATGGAAAAGAAAAATATTTGAAGTGTGTAAACATTTATTTCCTAGCTGAGCGCTTTCGGCTTACAAAGCCATCTTCAGAGCTATGGTCAAATATTTAAAAGTATCACTACTAGGAGAGATCTCATTTGATAGAAAGATGCAGAAATTTTATTTTAAACTGTTTCTATGCTAAAATAGTCCGTGTAAAAAACAGAAAAACGCTGGCTTTCACAAAAAACACATAAAAAAATTTGATTATGATACGGGTATCAGAACTCGACCATTTGTTGAAGTTGTAACAGCAGATAGAAACAGATCTGTAACATATAATTGTACAAATACTAAGTTACTTCAAGTCAATTTTGCAATATATTAAAATCATATATTTTAGAATAACTGCACCAGTACTAATGCTCTATCTAGTGGCGGTATATTTATTTAAACACATGGGTAATGGACCTTTATGGCAGCCTGGATGTCAAACTGAAATAAACAATTGTAAAACATATTGGTGGTCTTATTTTCTTTATATCCAAAATTATGCAAATTGGGATCAGCTGGTAAGCATTTAGTATTGTTCTGCAGATATCGTGGCATTTTATTTTTATAATTAATTATTACATAATGGAAATTTACCATAACTGAAGACCTTATTGCAATATAATGGTAAGCCACAATTTTACAGAATTCTATTTTATTGCATTACGTATTTAAAGAAACCTATGTTAAGCCACACAAAAATTATTTGGTAATTATTGCAATAAATGGCGGAGTTATTAATGAATCGTGTTTATGCAATCGTCCGTTTCTGTTCACTTTTTCGCGTAAACCGTGGTAAACCACATCAAAATGGCGTCGACATCAGGTGCACGTGCTGAATTAAGAGCGGTTTTAAGCGAAAATAGCACTTTGAATGTAAATTTTATTAATGATAGTGATGGTAGTGTAGCAGATAAAGACTTTAGCGATGATTTTTCGTCTCAATCTAGCGAGGTAATCTTTTTATTCTGATTTCTGATGTTTTTGTACAAAAATATTTCGTGTATATTACATGGAAATTATAATGCAGTCATTTTTTGTTGTATTTTAGGATGAATTGCAGGAACCAATACCAAGGCTTTTTGAAGATAAGGAGGTAAATCCAGAGAAGAGAAAACCAAAAAGATGATGACAAAGAAATGAGGAACACTATGATCGAAATGACAGAAAAAGAAGCCGTAATTCTGGACAGCAGTATACTTCGAAGAAGACCAAGACGATTTTTAGTTCACGTGAAATTGGTTAACCGTGTGAATGTAAAAATTAATGTAGGGAGAAACTGCAAAGTAATCAGAAACATGTATTTAAGAAATTTTGGGAGTTGGGCTCATTCGACCTTCAAAATAGCTACCTCTTTCGGTATATCAGAGTAAAAAATAAGAATAGATCGTATAAGAAAAAACAAAAACGCAATATTTCTAAAACAAAATTCTAAAAATTTGGTCCGCGGAACATTCAGAGGAACAGATTCAATCAGTCAAAACTCATATTGAATCCATTCCCAAATACCAAAGTCACTATAAATAGATTTTTTAAAAATCTTTTTTATATCTATATTTAAATATCTAAAAAAAAAGTACCTGAACTGTGATATTACAATTAAAGGACTATATACAGATTTTTATGTGCCATGGTGTAGAGAAATGAATATTACGCTAGTTAAAGAAAGTGCATACAGAAAAATATTTTGTACTCATTATAATATAGGGTTTAAATTACCTCGTTCTGATACGCGTAACACTTGTGATGAGACGACTATTAAAATTCAGGCATCAAAAGACGTTAATAACGAAGAACAAGAAAAAGAGCTAACTACTTTCTTAAACGTACATATTGCTCAACCTGACGCAATGCAAAATTTTGTTAAAAACTGAAAAAAAACGAATGTGTTACAAACAAATCAAAATTGGATATCTCGTTTGACTTACAGCAAAGTATGCCCCTGCCAAAATTAACCACTGGTCCTGCATTTTACTGCAGAAAACTGTGGCTTTATAACTTGGAGATTCACGACTGTACCAATGATAAAGGACACATCTACTTATGGACCGAAGATCAAGCTAGCGCGCGAAGCAGATGAGGTTATTTCTGTTGTGATGATATTTTTGAAGAACAAGTCAGATTATGAAGAACTCGTTGTTTTTACCGATAACTGTCCTGTTCAGAACAGAATTGGCAGTTAATGGCTTTTTGGTTGCAGTTAGCCAGGGAAAAGAAATTTAAACAAATAACGCATCACTTTCTGGTTGGTGGTCATTCTGTTATGACCTCAGACCGGGATTTTGCTCAAATTGTGCTGAAACTGTGCACCCATTATTTATTTGCCAGAAGGTCGGGTAGATATTATTACGAAAGCAAATAAAAAAAATCCTTTTGTTGTTACCTAAATGACCCAAAATAATTTTTACAGTTTTGAACCTCTTCTCAATAATATTGATAAAAATGCACGTCTTCCGGACAAGCAGAGCTTAAATTTTGCAAAAATATACAGCTTTCAATTTAAATCAGAAAAAGTGGGGTCAATTTTTGTCAAACATACTGTCAATGGAGACTATCAAGAAATTAATATCTTAAAATCTTAAGGAAAGACAGACCTGTAACAATAGAGTTGTCAAACATTCTCAAGAAATATAACGAGCCTCTGAAAATTGCGAAAAATAAACTGGAAAATATAAAAAGCTTGTTACCTTGTATTCCGCCAGTCTACCATACTTTTGTATAATCAATTAAACGAAGCTTCTGACTATGTGAATGAAGAAGTGTAAATTGTAGAAACATAACTTAGTTTATTTTTTGTGTTACGATTTTTTAAATTTAAGAACATGTTAAGCCACATTTTCTTCGAATAAACATCTTTTTTATGTAAATATGTATTTTTTTATGTGAAATAATAAATGCACATGGAACTTAATAAATAACATAATTAAATAACAAGCGTTAAGGTTTTTACATTTAAAGCAATATTTTCTAGATTTTTTTAAAACTTTAAACATCAATATCTCGATTTTATTATTTTGTGGCTTACCACTATTTTGCAAGAAGCTCTTCAATTGTAAAATTGGAACTATTTAATTTCCTTTTTGGCTTCTAAATAGGAAGCCATTTTTAAATCACAAGTTTTGAAAAACTAGACTTACTCTTTTATTTTTGTTATATCGGAAACGAAAATTACAAATATTTATTGTTAAAAAAGACTACACAGTTAATATAAAAAAAATTCAATGATTAACTCGTTCCGACCTAGAGGCCGAAATCAAATTATTTTACTTTAACATTGGTGATAAATTTCCAATATGTATTAATAGCAAAATTAAGAGTTTAAATTATTTTTTTATAACATTAATTTCTTATTTTTTCTATTTTTAGTGCATAATCCCTCTATGGTATATATCAGCGGATATGCAGTTATTTATTCTTGCTCCTTTGGTATTGATACCCATATCTATAGTATTAAAATCACCCGGTGGATTAAAATTAGCAATGCTAATATTAGCAGGATTAAATTTTTTGTTTTTGCTGGTGCATATAGCATCCAAATTATCGTTTCCCGAATATACTAAAAAGTAAGTAGGTAAATCGTATTATTTAGAACTAGAAGTATTTTTCTTTCTAACGGAGAGTTTCTACTATCTAACTACTTCAGGAGGGAGAAGTTAGGAAAAAATTCAGGCAGCAAATTGAAGAGAAACTGAAAAGCCAGACAACAGTAAATGATATAGAAAGCAGATGGGTACAACTAGAAGAAAAAATTCAAGAAGCAGCCGACTCAGTATTATCAAGAAACAGACAATGTAAACAAACGGATTGGTATGATGAGGATTGTAAGAAAGCCATTAGTGACAGAAATAAAGCTAGAATAAATAGCATAATAAGAAATAATGAAGAGAGTAAAAAAGCTTATGCCGAAAAAAGACGGGAAGCAAAGAAGATCTGTAGAAGGAAGAAGCGTTCAAGTTTAGAGCAGAAACTAGTTCGTATTGAAGAAGATTTTTTACATAAACAAGTCAGGAATTTCTACCAAGAAATAAAACGAGACCGAACCCAGTACAAAACCACATCAAGATATTATAAAGATGAAGAGGGGAATCTGTTAGGTGGAACAGATGAAAAATTAAGAAGGTGGGCCAGTTATTTTGAGAACATATTATTATGTACGGACGACCAAGATGAAAGAGAACAAACGCAACTACAACATGAAGAAGTAAGGGACACAGATGTAAATGAAGAAGTACCTACCAAGGAAGAAATTATAGAGATCATAAAAAACTTAAAAAACAACAAAGCACCTGGTGAAAATGGTATCATTGCTGAGTTTTTAAAAGAAGGTGGCGAAATGGTACAAGAAGAAATCGCTGAGTTAATACGCGAAGTGTGGATCAAAGAAAAAATACCCAATCAGTGGAAAGAAGCAGTCTTATGTCCAGTGCATAAAAAAGGAGACGTTACAGAATGTAAAAATTACAGGGGAATAGCTCTACAAGATACAGTGTATAAGATTTTGGCCATATCAATTAGAAATAAAATTAAAACAAAAGTTGAAAATTGTCTAGGTGAATATCAAGCAGGTTTCAGAGCAAACAGATCGGTAACTGACCAAATTTTTACAATGAAACAAATTTTAGCTAGCTCATATGAATTCAACCTAACAGTACACATGCTGTTTATTGATTTTAGAATGGCATATGATACTATAAAAAGAAATAAAGTATATGAAGCACTAGAATATTTTGAATTTCCACCAAAAATAGTAAGACTGACTAAATGCATACTCAATGATACTAAAAGTAAAGTCATGTTAGAAGGACGGGTTTCGGATAGTTTTATCACCAATAGAGGTCTGCGACAAGGTGATCCGTTATCAACAGATTTTTTCAATTTGATCTTAGAGAAGATTTTACGAGAATGTAACATCTACACTAGAGGCACAATATATCATCACAGACATCAATGTGTAGCATATGCAGATGATGTTACCTTAATAACAAGGAGACCTGCAGAATTAAGAGAAATCTTTATTAGAATAGAGAGAATAGCCAGAGAATATGGTTTAGAAATAAACGAAGAAAAAACAAAATATATGGTGATGAGGGGAAACGAAAATCATCTAGGAGAGTCCTTTAAGGTACAAAGCCCAAGTAAAGAATATAACTTTGAAGTTGTTAGCCAATTCGACTACTTGGGAGTGACACTAACAAATAGGAACGAAGAGAACCAAGAAATCATAAAAAGAATGGCCAAAGGTAGTAAGAGTGCTGGGAGCCTGACTAAGATACTGAGGTCGAAGATAATATCCAGAACAGCAAAAAAACGAATATATACAACAGTTATCCGACCTACAGTACTCTATGCTAGCGAGACCTGGACACTAAATAAAGATATGGAAGTAAAATTAGATAGATGGGAACGAAAAATTCTTAGAAGGATATACGGAGGTGTAAAAGAGGGGAACATCTGGCGAAGAAGAACGAATGAAGAAATAATGCAAATATATGGACAACCAAAAATAACAAGACTCGCGAAAATTCAAAGATTAAGATGGCTCGGGCATATAGCAAGAATGAAGGAAGGAAGAGTTCCCAATGAATTAATAAACACGGAGGCTGGTACAAAAAGAAAAAGAGGCCGCCCCCGAAGAAAATGGCTGGAGTCGGCAAAAGAAGATCTGAAGTCGCTGCGGGTACAAGATTGGAAAAACTTAGCACAAGATAGAAAGAAATGGAAGAAAACCGTTGAAGCCTTGGGCCTTTGAGGCCTGTTGAGCTGAACTATATATATAAGGGAGAGTTTGGTGGCGCGAAGAAACAATGTGGGCTTGCATACTCATCGATCGCCAAACGCCACGGAATAAAACTCTGATAAATATCCACTTTTCCTGACAAATAAGTCAGGGCTTCTACGAATAGGACTCAGCTCTGCTAAATACCGTCCTTCTGCTTTGACCGCCTACATTCGGCGTTAGTCATGACAAGGCTGCTCTTACTACTGACGCTTTAGTACTGACATGCTCTACTTGCTGCTTGAAGCTAAGTCTGGCATCAATCAGCACTTCCAAGTACCGAAGGAATGCTTGTGATGTGATTTCATGTTCTCTAATGTCCGTGCTTCGGTTACCACCTGTTTCCGACTAGTAATGAGCACTGCCTCCGTTTTGTGTTTCGCTAGTTTTAAATTAACTGTGTTCATTCACTGGCAGATTCTGTCGAAAATGATGTCGAACGTGAGATTTAGTTCTTCAAGGTGCTTTACGATGATCACCACAGTCACGTCACCGGAGTATGACACGTACCTAACATTTCGTGGTAATTCTAGCTTCAGATTATGTTCCATCATACATAATATTCCACAAGAGAGGATCTAAAACAGAGCCCTGTAATACTCTTCCAGTGATTTTATACTTCTGCGGGACAGACTTTATATTATACTTCAAAAGAAGATGGAGATGGCTTCAGAATGCAATTCCAGTTGGAGTCAGATGGCCTCTTTTTTTAGCTGTATTAACGACCAGATCAATTGTATCTACTGTTGAGTGCTCTTTTAGAAAACCATACTGATTACTGTGGATCAGTAGCTGCTGCTTCAATTGTTTAATGAAATATTTATTCTTATAATTGCATACAGCATACCATACTAGCTTTATCCATCATACAGAGCGGACGATAAGATGATGGTTCGTGTGGTGGTTTCTTTCCTTTTGGGAGCCTTTTCTTCTTTTCCAATATTTGTTACTTCCATATGTGCGGGAAAGTACCCTCCTTGAGACAAGTATTGTAAACCTCCAGGAACATTGCCAGTGATTCTTTGATGGCTACTTCTAAAGCAATGTTTGGGATTTCATCTAAGCCCGGAGCTTTATTTTTCCTACTATATTATACGCCTTCATTAGTTGATATTTTGGTGGGATTTAAAAGTATGAGAAAAGTTTTATTAATGGGAATAGCGTAGTAACGATCTTCTCTAAGATCTGTGTGATAGTGACGCATTATGGTCACTGGCTGTGTAATTATCCGATATCCTCCAAGAACAGTTTTCCTTAACGAGGCAGGTGTTGATAAAAGTGAGATCCACAATACAACTTGTTTCTTCTCTAGTAAATGTAAGTGTATCACCACTTTTAAGCAAGACAACGTCTAGTGTTGCCATGGCTTTTTGCTGTGGGTTTTCCTTTTCAATCCATAAGATACATCGGGCTTCCTTTCTACATTCTACAACTTTGTGGCTTTCTTTTTTACAGTACCTGCAAAGTTGGAACCGGTGTACTTCACTTTTACATTGGGTGACGAAATGACCATAATGCCAGCATTACTGGTCTTTTCACTGATTTTATTTGGCAATTGATCCAGCCAATCCTAATCTTACAGTATCCAATACAAATCTTTTTTGCTATTAGCTCTTTCAGTGTCACTACAGCAGTCTGAAAAAAAACTGTTTGTATTTTGAAAACGATTTCCGAAGTGGAAATTGAAACGTCAATAAACTTATTTTAAACTTTAATTGTGGCTTATTCCCATTAAAATAGTAATTGCTTCAAGATATTCAGATCTTGAATTTCTAGATCTTTCAATCCTTTCATGTTAGTTTACATGTAAATTTTGATTATACTAATTTTAAAATTCGTCTCCTCTTTTCAGTGCTTTTGATACACACGGAAGATTGCCCGACTATTTTATAGGCATTATGATGGGAATATTTATGAGATTCGCTAAAAGTGAGCCTTTTCTGGGTAAAATCAAAGCAAGATATGCTTCCGTAAGTAATCAATAAGTAAAATTTCCAGTATCAGCTTTTTTTAATAAGCTTTAAATTAGTTTTAAACTTTTTTATGTTTGATTAAAAACATAAACTCTTTAAGAATATAAATAAATTGAATATTAGTTAAAGTAATTATACAGCCAAAAAAAATAATTCCTTTACCTTCGTAAAAAATGATGATTGACATCAATTAGATCATTTATTTTTTGTGACGTTTGCTGTATCGGTGTCTTTAATTTCTATAGTATCAATAATTATCACGAGAGTCACGATTACAGTGATGGTGTTGGTATGCACTCAGTAGGAAACCTTACATAAATTCGAGAAAGAATATGAGCGAGCACCTACAAGATGCTATTATTTTGAAGCTATTTTCTTGTGGTATTTTAAATTAATTACTATTTAACTGGGAATAAGCCACAATTAAAGGTTAAAATACGTTTATTGACGTTTCAATTTCCACTTCGGAAATCGTTCTTTGGAAATTTAAACGTCATAAACGTATTTTAACATTTAATTGTGGCTTATTCGCAGTTAAATAGTAATTAACCTACAAAATGCTGTCGAAAGTATAACTATTAAATGAAATTGGACATAACATTAACATTTTCGGTAGTAAGTACACCGAAAGCAAAGTAAATAAACCTAAAGAAGAAAAAGAAAGAAATGAAATGGAGAAAGTAATACAGAAGAGGTATAACCTAATCAGCTTAGAACAAGAAAGCTTAGAACAAGAAATAGAATTATACAGAAATAGATTAAATCAAAAGTTGGAAAATAAACAATTTAATAATGAAGAACATTACACTCACATAACATAAAAATATGTCTCCAGGAGGCAATAACAGATGCTACTGGATACCAAATGAAGAATCAAAGAAAACTTCCATATTGGTTTGACGAAGATATAGAACAAGATATAAAGAAGAAAAGAGATCAATATCAAAAATTCTTAAATACAAAAAATATAACGGATAAAATAATCTGCAAGGAGTCTCAAGCTAAAGTATGAAAAATGATATGTTGGAAGAAAAAATAAGCATGGCAACAAAAGTATAACATGATAAATTCACATCTAGGAGAACAAAGAAGCACAGAAAATTGGAGAGTCTCAAAATCTTTACGATAAGATAAGAAGAGAGATATAGTGTCAACAATAACAATGGATGACTGGGACCAATATTTTGAGAAACTCCTAAGGGAAGATAGACCACAATTTAAAGACAGCAACGAAACACAAAATATAAATATTTTAACTTCACCCATACGAATAACAACGAAAGAAGTAGACGATGTATGTAGATCTCTAAAAAATAACAAAGCACCGGGTCCAGGTAACATCCCTGCAGAGTTAATTAAACATGGTACAACCAAACTATATACAAGTTTAGCCAAACTGTTCCAAAACTTCATTAATGGAATGATAACCCCAGAGGAGTGGAAGACTTGATTCATATCCACTATACACAAAAAAAGGCAAAAGGGATGAATGTGACAACTACAGAGGTATTGCTGTGACAAACTCGGTCAATAGAATATACAGAAAAGAAATTAAAAACAGAGTAGAAAGCGAATATAAAGACTTAGAGGCTGACGAATAGGCAGGATTTAGGTAGATGCACTGTTGACCATTGTTTTGCATTACACAGATTATTGAAAAGAAAATAGCAGTTAATCACGAAGTACATTTATTGTATGTAGATCTACGAAAGGCTGATGATAGCGTACCACATTATAAATTTTGAGGAACGTTAGAGAAAACAACTATAAGCATGAATTTAATAAATGCGATGAAGGAACTGTAAACTAATACTAACTCAAAGGTAAAGGTTGAAAATAATCTGTGAAGTGGATTCCAAATAAATAAAGGCCTTAAGCAGGGCTGTTGTCTCTCTCCCACATTATGTAAAATTTACTTTACTGGTTCTTAAACTGTGGAAGCCCAAATGTAAAAATATGGGAATGACGATTAACAACAATAGCATATACACTTTGTCATTTGCAGACGATTAACTAGTGATAGTACAAAATTATGAAGATATTGAGTATATGACTCGAAAATTAATCAAGAAGTGTAAAAAATGGGGACTTAAAATCAATATCCAAAAAACCAAGTATATGTTTATCAGTGAAAAACAATAGGACCTCATATTGGAAGATGAAGAAGTTATTAAACAGTGCTAGACATATAAATATTTAGGTATGATCATCACAAAAGAAGGCAATGTAGACGACACAATTGAGGAAAACAACCAAGCAAGAAAAGCAATTTCCCTTCTCAATAGTATCCTTTGGAATCAATCAATCTCTAATAATAACAAGCACACTATATATAATACAATCATTAAAAGTATAATTATCTACAGTAGTGAAGTATGGCAAAAAAAAGGAAAGATGCAAGAGAAAACTTGAAATTGGGCAACGGAAATGGATTTCTGAAGACGTTCAGCTGGAAAATCTAGACTAGAAAGAGTAACGAATAACAGACTAAGAAAAATTATGGAAGTACAACATTCAATAGTAGACGATATTGGTACCCAACAACTGAGATGATACGGACATGTAAAGAGAATGTCTGAAGAACGTCTCCTAAAACAAGTCTTAATGTGGACCCCTCGCGGTAGCAAAAAAAAAGAAGAAAACCCCGCCTTAGTTGGAGAGAAGGCATCGATAGAGAAATGAAAGACATAGATATAGAAGAAGACTTATGGATGAATTTTGAGGATTGGCAACTGGGTATCGGAAAACGTAGGAGAACGTTTTAAACCGATCTATACAGATCGAACGAGTTAAATTCGGAACATACGAAATATATGTGTTTCGTCTCAACTCCGCTCTAGGTGGTTGGCCAACAAAAGGTTGTCAAATAATTATATTATTAAAATCCAATACTTCAGCGGGCTGCTGGATTCTGAACTCATTCAAAACCAAGTCAAAACTCCACCCAAATAGGTTGCCTCGCGCATCACGTATAAACATTGAAAGCTACACATAAATCTAGGATTTTATTATGCTGTCAAACCACCTATCGCATCCTAAAGTCGACCACTCACGGTACAGCGGTGTCGTTCGACATAATAATCGGACAGCGGCGTTGTTCAATTTGTTGGTATATCTGGTGCGCCCACACACCATACTGCGCTGCAGTATTTGTTCGGTTCTCGACTATGTCAAATCAAACAATCATTTTAGCGTCTCTTACTTTGTGTATAACTAAGCATAAAAAGTAACCTAAAATAAAACGTAGATTCTAGTGGAAAGAATCCAAGATTTTGGTGCAAAATAAATCTCGTCTGCCCCTGCACCCGATTTACTGGACTGCAATGCTAATTTTAATTCTCTTTTATAGGATGTTCTAAAATTGTTATTTTTTTCTTACTTACTCTTCATTTGCACCTTTGTTTACTTCTTGGAACTTTAAAACTAGAATGTCCATTGCCTGTTTTCGGGCGTTTCTATCATGATACGTTTTACCTTTTATTCGCTATAGCATTCTTGTTTTTTATATAATTCAAAAAACTCTCTTAAAAAATTCTCGCTAAATCAAGCCATGTCTATTTTCTATAATATGATCAAAGTAAGAACTGGGTGTTAGGAAGTTGGTTTCCCGTTGGATCCGTCATGTGCTCACAGAAGAGCAAAAAGCGGTTCGCGTCCATTGTTGTCTAAAAACATTGAAACGGTTCAACAAAGGAAGCCCAAAACCTTTATAATATTGCTAGTGGCGATGAATCTTGGATTTACTCCTTCGATCCGGAAAATAAACGCCAATGCGATATGTGGGTGTTTCAGGATGAGAAAAACCCAACAAAAGTGATCCGTTCTCGAAGTGTGTCACAGAAAATGGTCGCAACTTGTGTGTCAAAATCTGATCATGTGGGAACAATTGCCTTAAAAGATCGAAAAACGGTTACTTCTAATTGCTATATAACTGTTTGCTTACCAGAAGTTATCGCGAAACTCCGACAAAGCAACACACAATGGCGAATCATCCTACATGAGGACAATGCAAAAGTGCTCACTGCCCAAAAGACATAGAGTTTTTGCAGCTTCAAAACATCAAATTTTCAAACCATCCACCGTATAGCCCCGATCTAAGTCCCAATGACTTCTTCGCGTTCCCAAAGATCAAGAATTCAATGCCTGGGCAGCGATTTGCAGGTGTCAACTGAAGACTGAAATAACTGTTTTACGAAATGTTTTGAATATATGCAAATATCCATCTTGGTGGGATATATTAAAGTACTTTAAGTCTATATATTTTTTGTCTTTGTGGCTATATGCAAAACTAAAAAGACAACCCTCGTTATTATCGGACCACCTCGTATATTTCTCAATGTAATTATATTTTATTTATTAATTTTATTTGTTATAACAATATCACGTCTGCCGTTTTAAACCCTCAAATAAATAAGTTGTCTTGTTTTTAGAATGAGGTCTAGATTTTCCAGGAATATTCTAAAAATAAAAACATTTGAAAAAATCATCTCATTGTAAGTTAATAGGGCTGATTCACAACAAATTGATGAGATCAACTCTGCAGTACTGCAGCAGACAGGCCAGTCTGTCTGCAGTCAAATTGTACGATTTCATTGGATGCACAGTCAAACACGATCAAAATCCTTGTCAATTCGTCGAACTCGACGAAGTTGAACAACGCTGCTGTATCGTGAGTGGCCGGCTTTAGGCAAGCCCCTCTGTCGTTTATCTAAGCAGTCAGATGGATCTTTTGAGCGGTGTTGCCAAATTTTTGTTATTAGTCTGTTGTAGTAGATTGTTGTAGTAGACAGATAGTTGAACGATATTTTATACAATGTCTATCACCGGGTATGGATTTATTTTTGCCCAAGTTTTATTTGGGTCCACTATTTCAAATGCAGTTCAAACAGACATATATTAAATTGTATGATCCGTTTTAAATTCGTTCAATCTGCATATAAAAAATTATCCGGTGAACAATCTGAGAAAATTCCTTTAGGAGTAGGTTTTATATCACAAAGTATTATTAGTAATATCATGAACCTTTTAAAATTATTTTGATAATTTCATTATATTTATTAATTTTTTTTTGTAGAAATTAAATGTTCTAATATGGATTATAGTATTAAGTCTAATGTTTGTAGTATTTATTTTTACTGATGATGGAGAGATGTATTTTAACAGAACCAACAAAACCTTATATTACGCCGTAAGTAGAGTCATTTGGGCTGTTGGATTATGCTGGATAGTATATTCTTGTTACCATGGCTATGGAGGTAATATTTTTTATTATACCTAATTTTGTAATTATTAGTAGCATTTAACTATGCTACTGATAAATATTTAATTGTTAAGTCATTTATTCTTCTTTCTCTTTAACTCATTTTCGTTTCAGACATTTTTTTATCATAAAAATAATACAATTTTACTGAAACAAGATTACATAAAAAGGAGCAACTATACATAATATTTTAGAGCAAGCAAAATTGGCAATATTAAGAGAAAACAAAGAAGTGTCGTTAGATTACAACGAAAAGAAAAAAAGTTAAAAAATTAGTTGATGCTAAATGTAAAAAATAACAGTTTAACAGATCCTCTGCATCCCTTTTCCCAGTTGCCGTCACATGGTCAAACGTGAGAAAGAAGAAGTAGAAAATAAAAATGAAATATTCCAAATATAATATCTCAAAATAGTCTATCTAATCTATCTAATTAGCCTTCTTAGGTCCATCTTTGGACATAGACCTTCCCAATCCTTTTCCATTCTTCTCTGTCTGTCGCTACAGTCATCCACCTAGAGCCCACGTGCTTCTTGATATCATCTGCCCATCTCATTTGGGGCCTTCCTCTGCTTCGTTTATATTCCCACGGCCTCCAACTTATAAAAATTTTGTTCCATCAATCTTCTTTTTGTCTTATATTGTATCCAGCAAATCTCCATTTCAATTTTGCAACTTCTTGTCTAACATCCCTCACTTTTGTTTTCTCTGTTATCCATTCGTTTCTCTTTTTATCCATTAGTCGTATGTGCAACATTTGTCTTTCCATTGCTCTTTGGGTTTTTATGATTTTGTCCATGTTTGCTTTTGTAAATGTATACGTTTGGGAACCATAAGTAAGAACAGGGAGTACGCATTGTTTGTATACTTTGGTCTTAAGATGCTGTGGATATCTTTTGTTTTAAAAAATGTAGCTTAGTTTGCCAAATGCCGCCCATGCCAGTCTAACTCGTCTCTTTATCTCTGCTGTTGGTTCTGTTTGTTAAGTTTTATAGTTTGACCAAGATATATATATATATATATAAATATATATATATATATATATATATATATATATATATATATATATATATATATATATATATATATATATATATATATATATATATATATAATCCTGAACTTGTTCTATTTCATCTTGTCCGATTCTGTGATGTCTTCATCTGTATTTGTTATGGTTTTGGTCTTGCTGTAATTCATATTAAGGCCTATCTTTCCAGCTTCTACGTCCAGTTCTTTCATCATTTCAAATAATTCTTCTTTTTACGAGTTATCAATACGATATCATCAGCGTACCTTAGATGGTTTAAGCGTTGTCCGCAAATGTTTATACCTTTTTCTTCCCATTCTAATCTTTTAAAAGTATCTTCAACAGCCTGATTAAAAAGTTTCGGTGATATTGTATTACCCTGTCTCACGCCTCTCTTTATTTGTATTGATTTTGTTCCTTCATATACTTCAATTGTTGTTTTGGCTTCCTTACATATATATTGGCTATTAGTTCCGTATATCTGTGGTCAATTCTGCTGTTAATTAAAGAATTTTTCACTGCCCAATGTTCGACTCTGTCGAAAGCCTTTTCGAAATCTATGAACGCCATATATAGAGGAATGTGGTATTCATTTGCTCGTTCTATAAGTATTTTCATACTTAGTAAATGGTCACTTGTGCTGAATCCCTTTCTAAAACCAGCTTGTTCTTTCGACTGGTATCCATCGAATTTTGTCGTCAATCTATTGGTTAAAATTTTTGTTAGGAGTTTATGCATTACATTGAGGAGTGTTATAGGACGGTAGTTTTTTATATCTGCTTTATCCCCTTTCTTGTGTAGGATAATGGTTACTGATTCCTTCCAGTTGTTTGGGATTCTTTTTTCTTTTAATATCTTATTAAAAAGGGGATGTAGAGTATTAATTACCACTTTTTCCACCATATTTCAGCATCTCTGCAGTTATTCCATCTTTTCCAGGCGATTTGTTGTTTTTCATTTCTTTCAATGCCTTCTTTATTTCTGATTTGCTTATTTCTGGCTGTAGCTCTGAGTTGACATTTTTTATTTTAACCTTAAGTTGGTTTTTAATTTCTTCTGGTGGTTCCTTTTTTGTTTTATATAATTCTGAGTAGAAATGGTGGATTATATTTATAATGTCATCTTTAACGTTTGTTTCTACTCCATTTACATCTTTTATTTTGTTTATTTCAAAATTACCTAATTTCGGCCTTAAGCATTTTATGTTTTTGTTGTTCTGTATTACTTCTTCTATTTTTATTTCTTGTTCCTTTCTCTTATTTTCTTTTATCATTCTGCTTATTGTTTTATTGGTTTCTACATATTCTATAGATTTCCTTTTGCCTTTTTCGTTCAGCTTCCTTCTTTTATCCATAAGCTTCTTTGTTTCTGTTGATATATAGTTGTTCTTTTTTAGATCCTTTTTTGCTATTTATTTTCCTGATGTAATCATTGTTGCTGTAAGTATATCTCTTTATATTGCCCTAGGTCTAAGTCTTTGTATATCTCTTTATAATGCCCTAGGGATAGAAAAAAACTAGGGTCAAAATAGTAACGCAAATAATACAAGGCAGTATTATACGACCCCTATTTTTTAATATTAATGAAGAGTATATAGTGAGAAAAGTTTTGCAAGAATGAAGAGGAAGCAAAACAATAGATGACAAAAGAATCACGAATCTTTTGTGAAATATTCAGATGCTAATGTTAGTATGAACAAAACAGGAAATGGTCCAAATAATGAACAAAATGGACATAATAAGTAGGAAGTATGCCAAACAAGAAAAACTCAAATCATGATAATAGATTAGCTTGTATTCGAGAAATTGCTAATCTATTTTCCTAAAATTATAGAGAATCATATTGAATCATCTGCTCCGTCCGTTTCTAATTGATATACCCAGTAAACAGAAGAAATATGGTATAAAGGCTTAGATCCTATTTTGAAAATTTTGTATTAATAATATATAATAAAAATGGGTAAATTTGATAAAGTTTTTGTTGAACTACAAATTTGTTAAAAATTTACCCTGTATAATGATTATTTATACCATTGGATAGCAAGTTTTATAGTCTTTTCAATGATGTATCACAAGTAGGGGTTTGCAATTTAAACTTTTTTGGTTGTGGTGGGTGGGGCTTAGGGGGTTGATGGGGGTGAGTTCTCTTTCATGTCATTTTAGTTCCCCCTTACTATCCTAGAAACGGTTTCAAGCATTTTTCGGCATCAGCTTTTGTTCGTGAGATATAGCCCATTGTAAGTTTTAAAATTGACACACAATGTATAATTATATTTAAATAACGCAGTTAATAAGTAATTAACGACAATTATCTTTGCTTTTTTCTTTTTAGTTCAAAATAAATATCTTAACAAAACCCAATCTTGTCTCCGACTGAATTTATTACACGAGGTTATTATATTGTGAAATTAGATTTGCGAGTTAAAAGTTGTAGTAGTAGATTGTAGTTGTAGTTGTATTCAATACTTTTTAAAAATGGTATATATACTTTAAGCAGGAACTAAAATTTTTCTTATTTATGGAGAATCTGGAAGAGGCACAAAAAGAATGGCAACAAATTTCAATGTAATTTTAATCATAAATGCGCCCTGAAATTAGGTGCTAAGTTTAGTGAAACTGGTTACATTGTTACTCAATTTGGGTTTAGGACTGGCTTGGGTACAAGAGAAGCCATGTTTAGTATACAGGTGCTAGTACAGAGATGCAGAGATATAAATCAAAATGTGTACATTTGTGCAATCTATTTTGAAAAAGCTTTTGACAAAGTCCGGCATAACAAAATGCTAGAAATATTGGAAACAGCTGGATTGGACGATAAAGATCTATAAATAATTACAAATCTATATTGGCATCAAGTGGCAAGAATAAAGGTTGAAAAAGAACTATCGGATGAAATAAATATAAAAAGAGGAGTGAGACAAGGTTGTATATTGTCGCCTTTACTTTTTAACTTATATTTGGAGGAAATATTTAAGGAAGCCTTAATGGAGACAACCGAAGGTATTATTGTGAATGGAGTAACCGTCAACAATATTAGATATGCCGACGATACCTTAGTCCTTGCCAATTGTGGAGAAGACCTTCAAAATCTAATGAACAAAATAAAACAGACTTGTGATCAGTATGGATTAAAACTCAACTTTAATATACAAAATTATATACAGGATGACGGTATAAAAGTCGGAGATGCCACACTGGATAGAGTAGGGAAACTCGTGTATCTCGGCAGTAATATCAATGAGAGCTGGGATCCAACCGCAGAAATTAAAAGCCGAATAGAACAAGCCCGAGCTGCCTTTGTAAAACTGAGAAACGTACTTTACAGTCACGATCTTAGCATTCACCTTAGAGTTCGTATAACATCTTGCTACATCTTTACTGTCCTGCTGTATGGAGTTGAAGCGTGGACTCTAACTGAGGCTATGCTTAAACGCTTGATAGCCTTTGAGATGTGGGTATACAGACGACTACTAAAAATAAGCTGGGTCGACAGAGTTAGAAATGAGGAGGTTCTTAGACGGCTGAGCCAAACAACACAACTGGTCAATATAATAAAGAAACGCAAGCTGGAATACTTCGGTCACATTAGAAGACACCCTGAAAAATATAATCTTTTACATCTGATCATTCAGGGAAAGATCCAAGGTAATCGAGGTCCTGGTAGACTAAGAAAATCATGGCTGAAAAATCTAAGGCAATGGTATGGAAAATCAACTACATCGTTATTTAGAGCTGCTGTCAATAAAGTCACGAACGCGAATATGGTAGCCAACATGATATCCAACGATCAATAACGGTCATGGAACTAGAAGAAGAAGAGGTTACATTGTTAAAAAAAAAAAGAAATAATCCCCGTGTTTTGGATGAAGCAGAAGAAACAGAAGTTTTAGGCACCTTTACTGAGAACCTTCCACGCCTTGGCACGCCAAGTAGCAATGTCTCACGAAACTGTAAGAAAAGCACCAAAGTTATATAAATTTCACCCGTATAAAATGCAAATTCTTCAAACACTGACGGATTTAATAATTGAAAACCAAAATATTTTACAAAATATTTGCTTTACTGATGAATGTACGTTTTTGTTTAATAGACATGTTAACACGCAAAATTGCCGCTACTAGATTGATGAAAGTCGCGACTTTTTAGGGAAGGTCACACACAGTATCTCTAGAAACTAAACGTTTGGACTGGTATTCTTGGGAATACTATTATTGGACCTTTATTCATTGAGGAAAATCTAAATGGTGAGTTACACTTAAATCTGCTTGAAGAAATAATAGACCCGTTAATACAAACTACTTTGGAAAATCAAATTGATGCCGCTGGTAACATAATTTTGGAAGAGGATCTGATTCACTTTCAACAAGATGGAGCTCCACAACATTACTTTCTTCCAGTTAGACAGTGGCTAAATGATAGATTTCCTGGCAGATGGATTGGTCGAAGGGGATTAATGGAATGGCCATTACGATCACCCAAGAGCACCTCTAGATGTCTTCCTATATGGATATCTAAATTCAAATATCTATAAAACACAAACTTGAGATTTGGAAGATTTAGAGGGAAGAATAACAGCTGGTTGTAGGGAACTTCAGCCTGTTTGTCGAACTGTTAGAGAGGAGTTTGAGAGCAGGCTTTATCACTGTGTACAAAATAATGGACCTTCACATTAGTCAGTTATTTTTATTTTTTTAGATTTACTTTTCCTTTAGGAAGTTACTTTTCATTGAATTTTTTTGTTTGATTGTAAACATTTTATACTTAAATATCTTTACGGTTTTACTTGATTTTTCCAAAATTACTAAAAAGAAGTAAAATATATGTGGTATTTTTCAAAAGGTAGTTTAACGACGTTTAAAATAAGGTATCAAATTATATAGGGTGGTACCTTTTCAAATTGACATACAGTATAATATATTATGTAAATATATAGATGTCATGGTATATAAATACTTTTATATTAATGTGTCATCTTGTTCAAATATTCTAATAACTCAAAAACGTTTGAAACATATATTTTCTTTTTTATAGGTATTGTTAATTGGATCTTATGTCTTCCTATCTTTCAAGTAGGAGCCAAATTAACATATAGTATGTACTTGTTACATTATTTGGTTCTCGGACATTTCGCACTTAGTAATAGGACGAAATTTAATATTAATGACTACGTAGAGGTAAGCACACATGTATTTAAATATATTTAAACACCATATTTTACTTGAAAGAACATGTTAAAATTTTAATTTTAATTGGTTCTAATATGCTTTATGCCTTTATCAAATTAGGTAAAAACCTAAAACAGACAGATAGTTCTTGTAAAAAACTGGATTTTTGATAAGCCTTTACAAGTTCTGTTATCTTGTCATAGCAATATATCCAATAACGAAATCTTCTTTATTAGCTAGATTATTTCGTCTTTGGTATTATACAGCTAACACAATATTTGATCTAAGTGGTCTAGTTACTGGTGATCTCTGTGGTTTTATCGCTTTTCAATTTTACGCTTACGTATAACTTATAAAATTGGTTTTAAGAGTTAGGCTGGCAAGGTGTTGCATTTTCTCGACTCTGCTTTATGGGATGGAAGCATGGACACTTAACGCGTCGACTGCTAAAAAGTTGGAAGCATTTGAAATGTGGGTGTATAGAAGAATCCTGAAGATATCATGGACTGACCATGTAACAAACAATGAAGTCATGAGAAGAATTAACAAAAGAATGGAAGTATTGGAAACCATCAAGACACGAAAGCTGCAGTACCTGGGATATGTTATGCGTAATGAGAGATACAACCTACTTCAATTGATCATACAAGGGAAAATCCAGGGCAAGAGAAGTGTAGGAAGAAGAAGAATCTCATGGTTGCGTAACTTGAGGGAATGGTACGGATGCACATCAGTTGAACTATTCAGAGCAGCAGCATCTAAGATCAGAATAGCCATGATGATTGCCAACCTCCGTCGCGGAGATGGCACGTGAAGAAGAGAAGATAACTTTTTTCACATTATTTATTGGTTATACTACTCGTACAAATAAGTATCTCCTCGTTGGCTAAACAGCGCTTATTATTTCCATGCGGGTGAGTGAGTCAATGAATTTATTAGTGCCATCTATCGAAAATTTTTCCAAATTGCATTTGTAATGTTAATGTTAATTTTAAATGTGTTTCTACGATAGTTGGCGTAAGCTATTATTAGTTGCTTGACTATCTCATTGTCGATGTGTATATGAAATGTCACCTGCCTTATTTTTATATTCTATGCTCCTATAGTGTCTCCCCTTATCTACGGTTTTAAGGCCTTTATTATACTAAAGTTTTTTCTTTAATGTTAAAAGAAAATAACGTTTTGGTTTCTCCCCCACATCATTCATTTAGCATTTGTCAGTGCGTGTGACACCCTATATATTTTTAGTTTGCTTCTTCCACTGGCTACAATCCTGTACCAGATGGACGGCTTCATGTAGGGATTTTCTTAATGTTAAAAGAAAATAACGTTTTGGTTTCTCCCCCACATCATTCATTTAGCATTTGTCAGTGCGTGTGACACCCTATATATTTTTAGTTTGCTTCTTCCACTGGCTACAATCCTGTACCAGATGGACGGCTTCATGTAGGGATTTTCTTACCAGAGTCTTCATCTGCTTATCTTGTTGGACATCTTTTCCTTAGTCTTCGGCCTTCTACCTTTTATTTTACTACTATGATTTCCATATTGCTCGTTCTTTTTTGTCTACGTAGTCAAAGTAATTTAGATGTTCTGTTTACTTTTTTTAATGGCCCGTCTTATATATTAAGATCTTCAAGAATTGACAGGTTGTTTCTGTGTTCCATCAAGGACACGCATAGAATTTTTCTCTAGACCTACACCTCGAAGGTCTTGATCTTACTTCTATTGAATTTTTTGAGCGTTTTGAGGGTTCATGTTTCAGCTGCGTATGAAACAATGGCTAAATAGGGGCATTAACCTAGTGTTCTTGTTATTGTTCAATTTTTGGATATTTTAATTAATTTAGCTGCTGTCTACTACCATTGTTTAAAAAAGAAACTACTCTCAAATTCGCCACTTACTGTATGTGTGGTAGGTTAGTCTTTTTTCTGTCTACTATTATTATTTTTTGTTGTTGATCTAAAGTCCAAATTCTTTGCTTATCCTGCTTAGCAGTTCGATAGTCATTTTGACTTAATTCGCTGCTAGTATGTGTTTCATCTGCGTATCTTACGTTGTTGATTTTTTAGACTAGTCTAGTAATTCCTTAATCTCATTTGTCTCGCAATTTTCCAATTATCTATTAAGTATACATGTTGTATAAGCATGTATGTACTTTAACTTTGGCTGAGTTTTTATAATACAGATTTTCTATCAAGTTAACTAGTTGGTTAGGCACTCCCATATTTCCCATTATACTCTAGAGGGAATACCATTTTACTAAATCTAAAGTCTCTGTTTAATCTAAAAAAGAGACTAGCATTGGTATATTGTGTTCCCTCACATTTTCTATTATCTGTCTGGTGTTCAGTATCTGCTCAAGCTTTCCTTTCCCTGGTACAAATCCGCAATATTTTTCTGCTATCTCTGGAAGTAAAAAGTTCTTTAGCCATGTCTTGATTATATATAGCAGGATATTACTTGCATAAGAAATAAGGTTCTGTAATTGCTGCATGTGGTTAGTGATCCTTTTTATGGACAGAGATAAAGGTTGACTTACATCACTTATTAGGCTATTCACCTGTAATCCATATCCAGTATTAAATTTAAGTCAATCTCGCCCATTGCTTATAAAGTCTCCGCTGGTATGCCATCTGTCCCCGTAGTTTTTTGTTTCTTAGTTGGTTGAGAGCGTCCTTTACTTCTGATCGTAAAATGGTTAGTTCTTCCTCTTTAATTTCACGTTTCTTGTATTCTGGCATCTTTTGAAGTGTCTGTATAATTATGAGCAGTAATTTCTTCTTCTTCTTCTTCTTCTTCTAGTTCCATGACCGTTATCGATCGTTGGATATCATGTTGGCTACCATATTCGCTATCGTGACTTTATTGACAGCAGCTCTAAATAACGATGTAGTAATTTTTCCAGGTTTCTGCAATGCTTTTTTCTGTGTCGATTTGTACTTCTCCGTTACGGCATTGAATGTCTTTAAGTTATGGCTTGAGTTAGGGCCAAATTTTCAACTGTTTTTAAATAGTTTATGGCTTTCATGACTGGTTTAATGTTGTTTTAATTATTGATGCACATTATTTATATGATTGGTTTTATCTTTGATCTACATACATTTTATTTTCCTGTTCCCCGCTCCGCTATTTGTTGACTAATGTTTCCTATTTTTATGGTATGTTGTAGCACAGCCGTACTCAAACTGTGGTACGCGTACCACTGGTGGTACGCAAAGAACTTTAAGGTGGTACTCTATAAACTAGAAGAAACGAAGAATTTTAATCAAATTTATCAACGAATGTTATCTTTTACGTGGTGCATGGCAACGCTGCGAGTTGGAAACACAAGCGCGTAATGTCTTATTCATTGTTGGCAACACTGGAATCCCGGCAAACTGCCACCGCCCTTGATTCACGTCATCAGTGGTCATTAGTCATTAGTTTCCTCGTGGCCGTCAGTCGTTGTGGTTAATTTTGTCGAAACGAGTAATTTGCTGTTACTGATTCGTGCTAATTTTTGCATATAAAAAATGGATAAGTGGCTTAAAAGAGACAACAGAACATCTGAAAATCCCGGTCTATCGAGCTCCACTTCAGAGTCGGAGCCTATCCAGGGTGATGACAAAAAGAATTATTTCAAAAAACTAAAAGTGGCGGTTAGGAAATATGATCCTGAATACATTAATATGGGATTTACATTCACGAATATAAATGATGAGCCAAGGCCCCAATGTGTAATCTGTTCGGAAATTCTTTCTAACCAGTGTATGAAACCTTCGCTATTAAAACGCCACTTCAGTACAAAACATTCAGTGTTGGAAAATAAACCTAAGGATTACTTCATTCGGAAGTTAACGGAGATGAGAGGCACAAAAAAATTAATGTCGAATTTCACCGGCAGCAACCAAAAAGCAGTAGAGGCATCCTTCCTCGAGAGTTTAAGAATTGCGAAGTGTGGAAAAGCGCATACAATCGGCGAAGAACTAGTTCTGCCTGCCGCACAAGATATGGTAACGTGTATTTTTGGAGAGAATTCAGGTAAACAACTTAGTATTATACCATTATCCAATGATACCGTACATCGTAGGATTGGAGAAATTGATAAACCGGATAAAAAATAGTATTTTTTTTGCAATACAACTTGATGAGAGCACAGATATTACAAACTATGCTCAGCTTATGGTTTATGTGCGGTATATATTTCAAACCAAAATCGAAGAAGAGTACTTATTTTGTGAGGTGTTAACGGAACGAACTACTGCCGATGAAATATTCAAGAAAATCAATGATTTTTTGTGGAAAATGGACTAGACTGGAAACAATGCGTTGGTTTCTGTTCGGATGGTGCCCGAGCCATGACAGGAAAATACGGAGGTGTAACTGCTAAAGTACAACTGTTAGCAGAAAATTGTACTTTTACCCATTGTAGTATCCACAAAGAAGCTTTGGTAGCAAAGCGAATGCCCGATGAATTTAAACATGTTCTCCATGAAGCCGTTCAGATAGTCAATTTCATAAAATCTCGAGCCTTAAACTCGCGTTTATTTTCAAAACTATGCTCTGGAATGGGAAGTGATCATATTCAGCTATTGCTACACACGGAGATAAGATGACTATCAAAAAGAAAAATGTTGAACAGGTTATTCGAGTTGCGTTCTGAAGTACATGTGTTTTTAATGGAAACCAATTTTGAACTGCGTGATCGGTTATTAGATGAATTGTGGCTTACAACACTAGCTTACTTAATAGATATATTTAATCGATTAAATGACCTAAACTTAAGCTTACAAGGTAAATCACATAATCGATTTTCTGTAAACGACAAAATAAATGCTTTTATCAAGAAATGTTATATGATGAAAAATAGTGTTTCAAATAAAGACTTGCTGCAGTCGTTTACCAATTTAGAAAATTTTGTGGTTGAGCATGAAATAAAGATTAAAGATGATCTTATTTTTAACATAAAACAGCATTGTCAAATGCTAATTGATAGTTTTAAAGAATATTTTGACGAAGACTATGCTCAGTTTCTTTGGATACGACAACTATTTATTTTGGATAGCATTCCTGAATCATTAAAACAGGATGAAAAAGAATTTTTAATAGAACTATCTTGTGATGGAGGCTTGAAAATAGAGTTTTCTAAATTAGAATTAGCTGAATTCTGGCTAAATATTAAAAATGAATATCCAGCCTTATCAGAAAAAGCATTGTTATTTTTACTTCCTTTTACGACAACATACCTGTGTGAAACTGGATTTTCTGCTATGCTACAACTGAAAAATAAATTTCGCAGTAGGCTTAATGTTGATCACTTGTTGTAGCTATGCAGAACCACCTTCTCACTGAATTTTTGGATTGGGTCAGACTGTAAGTTTTATTTTGTAACATTTATAATGCCCTTTTTTAAATAAATACATTTTTGCCAAAATAAGTAAATTTTATTATCTACTTTTTTAATAGGTGGTACGCGATTGACGCAGAATTTATGTAAATGGTACGTGTAAAAAAAAGTTTGAGAATCGCTGTTGTAGCATAAGTCTTCTTTCTTCCACCAATTCTAAGGTTTCTGCTGACATCCAGCGTTTTTTTTTATCTGCTTTGGGTATTTATAGACAACCTTTCATAAAGTCCACTTCAATTGTTCTTATTTTATTTCGTATTAAGGTTGTCATTGGTCATACTTTCGCTCCATATGGGGTAATTTTCATCACCATGCTCTGAAAGATCCATTTTTTTGTTTTGTTTGGTTAAAGTGTTGTTTTATCATACAAGTATCATCTTGGCTTATCATTGACTCTTAAATACTTAAAAGCTTTACAACTCTTAATAGTCCCTTCTTCGAAACTTTAGTTCAAATGTGCATTCTCGAACCCAATATATAAGTATTTGGTCTTACACATATTTATCTAGAGTCTTTGTCATAGATCATATTTTTCCTTTAATTTTCTTCTCATATATTCCCTATTCCATATCCTCCCTGTCTTGTGCAAAAATGACTTGGTTGTTTGCGAAAAGTAGTGAACGTAATATATGCTCTTATACTGGTATGCCAATTGTTCCGCATTTTCTATACCATCTCTTCAAAGCCTGATCTGTATATAGATATTTTCTACCATGTGAATTTTCCCAGTTTGAAGAAGACCTCTAACATTCCATGTTCCTGTATTAATTGATTTTTTGCTTTGAAGCTTCTGTAGTTCGGTTTGTCTTGCAGTCGCGAATTTACTACAAGTGGCCTGTTCACTCGCGCGTTTGTACTCGGACGCCCATTTCACACTGTCTGACCTCCGAATCAGACCTTTGCTTCGCTACTTTTTGGCATCGCTACTTTTTGTGTTTCGCTATTCATTCATTTGGAGCATACCCTCGAGAAAATAATCAGGTGGTTTCACCTCGTGTGCCTGATTGCGGAGTCATGGCCGGTTGTCAAGCCAATCATTCCACTGTAGCTTTGTTTCAGTAATGACATAGCTGCTGTCCTTTGCCATGTCTTTGTGCCAGGTGTTTGTTTGGTTATATCTTATTCTGACCTGTCCTAAAAATCTGTATTAGCATTCCCTATCGGCCATTTAGTCTTGCCTTGCTGGGGTTGAGGACATCTCAGTCTAGTCCGCCATCCGCTCTTTTAAAGAGTCCCTAGTCAATGCAGGTCTTCCTCCGCGAAAGCTGTGACCGGTTACGCAACTTTTTATTTAAAAGCTTATCAAATATATATTTTTTAAATCTGTTAGGGTCTTTTATATCTTAAATATACAGAGTGGCCCAAAAGTCTGGAAACGGCTAATTATCTCGTAAAATGCTAATCATAATTGTACAAAATTTAAGGTACACCTATTTTGGGATATGGAGATTCCATATTTAATATTTACAATGTTGCCAGATTTGCCGTTTTTCTTATATTATTAGTAACTTTGGTTTTTCAAATACATCACCCTGTATATTCAGTCATTATTGGAATCTCCTATTCAATACGAGTTCAAACCAGATGAAACCACACAAATTAAATGTATGGTCAGTTATAGTAGGTACTTATTTAATTGGGCCATTTTTTATCGAAAGAAATTTAACGTCAGATAGTTGGTGTAAATGTTCGGCGTTATTTAGATGAGATATTTTCCGGACGATAAATTGGTAGACAAGGTAGAATTAAATGACCTCCACGTTCACCCGATCTCAATCCTAAAGATTATTTTATTAGAGATACTTGAAAAATTCAGTTTACAAAACTTAACCAGCAAGTCTTGCATAGCCAAGGCAATGAATTATCGATGAATCTCGAATAATTTCTAGACAATCATGGAGAAATGTGGTAGACGCATTCTACCATCGATTAGAGTGCTGTCGACTCACAAATAGAGCACATTTTGAACACTTAATACCGTAACTATTACGTTAAAAAATATTCTAAACTATCAATTGTTACGTTTTAATGTATTTGAAAATAGTTAGCAACATTGCAACTACCAAATATGGAATCTCCGTATCCCAAAATAGGCGTATCTCAAATTTTGTATAATTATGTCTAGTAATTTACGAGATAATTAGCCGTTTCCAGACTTTTGGGCCACTCTGTATATCATTTATCAGATAAATTAAATTTGTTCTAATTGCTTAAAATACACAAAAAGCCATTGAAACGAACAAGAAACATATGACATTATTCAATACCTTCATCATATTTTATCTAGTTATCTAAAAGCAGACAAACCAACATTTATGTATAAATATCTAAATTATTGTTTTAGTTTTACCTATTTTGCGGGTATTTCATTGAAACTTTCGTATGGTCTTTCCTTTGGACTTTAGCTTTTGAATCTCCAATTATAACTATAGAAAAATACATTTTTAGCGGAACAAAACTAACAGGTAAGACTTATTTTTTAAAAAATATAACAGAACGTCACCTTTATATTATAGTCAATTGATCTTTTTTTAGAAGTTAATCATAACCATAATACCAAGAGGGTGGAAGAGAGTTGTGCTTAACGATTTGAAGATGTGTTCTTATTAGAAAAATTATTGTGATATTTATAATTGTGTAGATAGTTTTAAAAGAAAATAAACAATTAAAACCAATCAATCTTGTTTTTAAGCTACTGTTAGTCATAACTAGACATAGGCAAAAATGCAAAAAAGTGAAAATGAAAAATTACGTATGCATTTCTTTTAGAAAATATGCTTACTGTCAATAAAAACATATATTGAATGATGGTATATTCATTAATGTATATTTTAACAATTAGAAAACAATATAAATAAATTTAAAAACTAAATAGGTAATTGTAATGTACTCTAGCCATAACTATTAGATGTGAAGAGTGACAAAAAAGAAGCAATGACAGGCAATATTCTAAAACTTATGGAGAAATATTCATTATAAATAAAGGACAGCATCATTACCATACAGTCTATAGTCTCTACCACGCTGAACATAGGCGTCCCTCAGTTGCCTCCAATCTTCCCAATCTTATTCCATGTAAATCCAGTTCGTTTTATTTTTTTTCCTAAAAAAATGGCTTTGGCAGAGCCAATTAGCCACACTTTTTTTTTTATTTTTAAAGTCGAATCCAGTTCGTTGTGACCCTTTTTATATGATCTGTCCACCGTGTCGGAGGTTTGACTTTACCTCTAAAACAGACGCAAGTTTACTATAAACGAGTTTAAAAAAAAACGAGAGTAACATTTGAGAAGAAATTATCTAATCAAAGTCACATATAACTAGAAGATAGACGAGATAAACATTGAAACACCCTAAACTTCCAGAAAAGATAAACTTGTGATAAAAGAGCACATAAATCTATTTCCGGTTTACCAGAGTCACTATAGGCGAACGGTTTACCCCTATAAGCAGAGCATCAACCTACTAAAATTCTTTTTGCATTTCTAATGCACCAAACCTTTTTTATTCGATTCTATATATTTTTCCAAGATGAAATGTATTTTTTTAAAATTTTTACAAGTAGGCCGGCAATTGTTATTAACAAATAACTTATACAAAGAAGCAATTTCACCGAATTGTTTCGGAATCAATTTTTTTAGGTGTATCTCGTCAAAATAAACACTTTTTCTCTCCTGATACTTTTTCGAAAAATGTTTCCTTTTCAAGTTATTTGCATTTTTTTGTTGAAAAAATGCCTAAATTAGTGATTTTTGGGATTTTTTTTCTAAAAAACTACTAAATGAATTCCAATTTTACAAATAGCTTTATAATCTTTAAACCGTCGAGTATAAGTTGGAATATTTTGACAAGGATAAATGGTTTCTATCTCGCTAAAAACGTGGACCCAAATATTTCGAATATGCCTTTCGAGAGTATCCCGCTAAAGGTCGATTCAGACACATCAGTCCCGTCATAGTCTCGGCGCCGAACCGGTCCTGTTTCTTCACAGAACTATCAACTATTTGACAGCTGGGAAACTGTTCGTCGCCTGATGAATATGAATGCCGGCGCCATATTTCTATTAAAGAATATTTTGTATGACGGATTGTTCGGTTCGGCGCCAGGACTGTGACCAGACGTGACTGATGTGTCTGAATTGACCTTTAGTCATGTTTTTAACGGAACCAGTGCTATTCAGTGAAATATTATCTGGAGCGCATAGAAAAATTAACCCGGTTTAATTTATTTACGGCAACTATAGATATATTATGCACTATTTTATTCGTACTTTGAGTTGAAGAATAGATTAAATTATTTCAAATGTACTAAATTATTAATCTCTAAAAATTTAAATTACGGTTCTGTCATAGCTTGTCACAAATTTCTCAATTCGAGTCCATGTTTCCGTCTAAAATATGGCGATCGCGTGCTGAAAAACTTCAAAGGCGGCATCTGAGAATGGGCATTCTGATTGTTATTTATTCGGTGATAAAAGTTTGTATGTACCACGGGTATTAATATATGTATATCCCTACGTTCAACTCCACATCGTCTCTCTACTACTGAATTACGCTTATCTTATTCCACGATTATTTCGGAATCCACATTTTATTTCGACTAGTTGTTCTTCTATTTTATCGTAAATTACTCCCTAAGAAAATGTAATATTCATAAGAAAATTTTCTATTACTTACAAGTCTGATTACGTAATGATCACTTGTATGATAAAAAAGAGATTCATAAGAGAATGTTCAGCTTTGGAGTCGAGTAGCTGTATTATTTCGCTGCATAATTGATTATCTGATCTGGATTATTTTCCTATTCTTTGCTATTTTCATAGCTAATTGGATCTCATTAAGGATTTCGTTTGGTCCAGATGATATATATTTTGAATTTGCAGTTTAGCTCTTTCCCTTTGAGACAATATTGTGGTTTTGATATAATCTGTCCATCAAGCACACTGTTTACTTGTTTTTTTAACAAAACTATATGGAGATTTGTCTGTTTTTTTATTATTTTTAGTTCTCTTTGATTTTTATCTTCGAAATTTTCTGTGTGAAATGGTTTAAAACAACAGACAAAATGTATAAAATAAAATATAATTAATTGAAATAAAAAACATTCATATTCATAAGTATTTTATTTTAAGTTGTGAACAATCATTGCTGTTTGTGACATGTCATTAAGAGGGCGTGGACATTCAAGTAAACACAAATAGGAAAAGGCAGAAAAAATATTGTTAATACAAATCTAGCACCAATTTTGGTAACAGGTAAAGTGGATGGCATGTTTAACTTTATTTTAAGAACACATGTAAGTAGAAATTAGTAATATTGACAATTATAGAGACATCAGTTTTAAAGCCAAAAACATAGACATAAATTATTGCTTTGTGATTAAAAACATTAAAAAGAAAAAAATGTTAGCAAAATCATTTTTGCTAATCAGCTATAAACATAATAGAAGCCTGTTATTTTAAAACACTGATGTAGGTAGAACTGCGTAAAAAATATTCCAGTACTTGTTGCCGACAAGTTAAAAAAATAATTTTTTGGTCATATTTTATTTTTAATAAACACATTCTTTTTGGTGCCATATAATAAAAACGGCAGAGAATATTGTAAAGTTTTAATTAATAAATTTTAGCTTAGGAAACCCTTTCCTACATAAGATTTTTCGTAAAATCATGTTCTCTATTTTAGTTGTTCAACTGTAATTTAAAAAAATTTTGAAAAAGCACGTTTCAAGTTGGAATCTTGAAAATATTTTTCAAAATCACAAACGCTAATACCTTTCATGTAATATAAATTTGCCAGTTCAACGTAAGTTAAAAATAAACAAAGAAAATAAAACAATTATTGGGATTGACTTTAAACTGAAAAGCTATAAAGCGTCAGAGCAAATATTTTACAAAACACAAAACTCATTCGAATATTTATTAATCAGACCAATTATGTAATGTAGATGATTATTAAATTTAATTGATTAGTATCAAAAAAAAAACAGTAAAGAAAGAAATCAAAAGGTTTTTTTAATAACTAAAACCAGTTATAAACAAACGTTACTACTCAAATCCGGAGTAACTGAGTCAAGTAATGGATTACGATACAAATTCTAATATTTAAAAGCTCATAATTCACACACACACAAATTCATGATGCATTGAGGATATTAAAATTCTTCAAAAAATAAAAAAGGATTAACTATCTGAAGAAATTTAAAAATAGTTTTAATAATATAGCTATAGTTCATTTCACGGTTTTTGTCCGATGAGTGTAATCATTATATCTCAGTTACATCTTTGACAGAAACAGGCAAGTTAGAATTTCAAATGCAGACGTACAGTCCCTGGCCATATTATTATGACCACCCATTGTATTCAAGACATTTATATTTAAGATTTTTATTTTAGCGTAAATATATGCCGAATTAAGTTTAATTATCTTTTAATATGAATGTTAACATTTCAAGTACCTTATTCATCAAATATTTTATAAGAGTGTAAACATTTCTCGAGTCACAACAGGTCTAGGTTACTGAAAGCGCATTTTCAGTTGTGCTGCAGTTTACTCTGGACCGCAAGCAGCGTTTAAGACGTGTTATTTTAATTTTTTTACCAATTGGTAAATTTTATGAATATTATTATTATAACTTAATACTCTATTGTTTTAAATTTCAGGTTTTTTTTGTTAAAATAGTTGTTTTTAAAATGTGGTTTCAACTTTCCCTTGTTTTAGACATGGGCAAGAAAAAAGATCTGCCACCTAAAAAAATTGATAAACTTAAGCACTTTTAATACATCATGGAAGTCTTTCCCAACGTCAAATTGCTTCCAAAATCCAAGTTTTCAAGACATAGGTGGCAAATATTGCACGAAAATTGCAGAATGATGTGACCTTAACACCGAAACGTAAAGGTAAATGTGATAGAAAATAAGTTATTACACCACGTTGGACGCGAAATTTAGTCAAGATTATACAGGAGGATAGATTACAAACAAATCAAACAATTACAGAAAAGTTTGTCGAAGGTCACGTCCAAGTATCGACGCGAACAGTGCGTTGAAAATTAATAGAGTTGGTGTTCAAAAGCCTACGTCCAGCTAAAAAGCCTTTTCTTAAGAAAATATGAAGAAAAAAAGACTAGCTTGGGCAAAGAAATACGGGAACTTTACTGTAGAACAGTGGAAAATGGTTTGGCATTTTTATAGTTTTAAACATGATTAAACTAAAATTTTTCATTTTTGACAGGTTTGCTTCAGTGACGGAAGTACGTTTGAAATATTAACCAATAAAGCTCCATATATTAAACGAAGACCAGAAGAAAAGTATTTACCTGAATGTGTTATTAAAACTGTAAAACATCCAACAAAAATAATGGTGTGGTCTACCACTAGCGGTAACTGACTTGGTAGACTTCAAATAGTTAAGGGGATAATGCGACAAGATCAATACATATCAATATTACAGAATAAACTTATACCTCAAGTAGATGAATGGTTTCCTATAATATTTATATATATTATTTTAATTTAAAAAATATATTTCTGTACGCTATTAGTAAGTTTATTTACACTTTCATCTTACTTCAGTGGTTTTCAATATTA